CATCAATGTCTGGGCGGTTACATGACATAACAACCCCCCCTCCCCCCCGTTGTCGCAACAACATCAAAAGTTATACAGCCTATGAGATATGAATGTGAAGGAATATATGCATATGGGGGGGGGGGGGGAGGGGAGAGAGGATAGACGTGATTATGATTGTGCTTACCCTCCCAGTATTACTCTCCCAGTAGCAGTAATCATACTAGTAGTGAAGGCGAAGACATGTGATACGTACCAGTACCAAGTTTACATCGTGGCCATTGGTGTCAGGGTCTGCCAAAGTGGCCCCTCTCATCTCCCATATTTCTTCCAAGTTGTTGTGTTTGGTTACGTTCTCACGTGCGCCGGCGTTGTAGATTATACAGGTGCATTAGCCCCTTCAAGAGAGGGGGCCGCGGCGGTTGTATGATATTGTTCAATCTATCTATGCAAAGGATGAGGCCGCAGTTATATCTGAGTGCGATGTTTGCGTGGAGACCTGAGGCTTAGATATCGGACCGGAATAACTATTCTAGCTATTATATGGAGTTTGATGATATCTGTGCAAGACATATTGAAACGTTGGGAGTTTGCCGGCAACGAGGGGAGGATTCAAGCACTGCCGATTTTTTCTCTCTTTTTTTTTCCATCTCCTTTTTTCTTTGAAAGAAAGCATAAAACTCCCTCGAGAGATGTACAAGGGGAGCTCGATTTTTTTTTCTTTTTTTTGATATTATCATCTATCCGTATCCGATGCCCACCATCTAATCTATATCTGTAGGGTAGCGTAGATTGATGAAATCTACCGAATTAGGCCTTGACTGATCTGTACCAATACCATTTATTATTACCTGTACCGCATGACAAATTCTTCTCAAATACCAGCTCATGGGCTCCGCCGGATGGCAAAAGCGATGGACGATTCCTCCCTCTCGTCTCGACCGGTCTAAACCTTTACAGCTACCCTCCACTCCCGAGCAGAGTGCTTTTCTACGATCGCGCACTGTTCTACTAATTCCATGGAAATGGTCATACGGATAGATCCGACTGTACTCGTCTCGATGCCTCTGCCGTACACACACACACACTGGTCACCGGTGCCTTCATCGCTATGACTCTTCTACGATAGCCTCTATACGCAGACCTTGTCACCCACCTCCCTACTCCCCCCCCCCCCCTAAGCAGACTCGTTGTCTTGATGGAAGACTGGCGATTCACTCGTGCCGTTACGTGTATTGTTCTCATCATTGCGTGTATCATGCTTATAAGCCAGACCGTACCATTCGTTACTCCATAGACCTCCATAGACCAAATCTACCATCTCTGTGCAGAAGAATTCTATATATCCTAGATAGAAGATAGTAGAGTGAGAAAAAGGCATGAAAAAAAATAAAGGAGGGGGTATTTGTCAACATGTGATGAGAGAGAAAGGAGCAGAAGTACGCCGAGAAGAAGGATCCGTGGCCGAAATGACCGAAAACAGAGAGGGGGTGGAAGGAGAAGGAAAGAGGCAAGGAAGACGAGAGAATCACTTGAATAACCTCTTCCACAGAGACTTCTTCTTGTCCTCGTACCCTTCTTCCTGGACATTATGCCGTCCCACGATGGAGAGGAAGACCTCGTCCAGAGTAGTGGGGCTGACGCTGTAGTGTCCTATCCCCAGGGCGGACCTGTTCTCCTCCAGCAGGATGAGGAGGCGTCCTATGGCGCTCCGGTTGTTGGCCGCGGCCTCGGCATCGCCGGTCACGCCGTCGCCGGCCGTCCTCTTCTGCTGCTCCTGCCGGGCCATGCTGCCCGTCGCGGCCAGCACGTCGGTGGCAGAGACCTGGAAGCGGAGCTGGCCGTGGTACGTCTTTGTCTCGACGTCAGCGGTCGGGAGGCTCTCGCGGATCCAGCGCGTCACGCGGTCCATCTCGGCGTCCGTCGTGCGCGGCGCGTCCCGGTGCACGAGGTGGATGTGCAGCATGTCGCCGAACCGGCGGCGCAGCTCGTCCGGTGTGCCCATGGCCAGCATGCGCCGCGCCATGATGCCCGCCCGGTGCGCCAGCGCGTCGGCCTCCTCCATGCTGTGCGTCGTCAGGAGGATGGACCGGCCGGGCACCAGGGCCGCCAGGGTCTTCCACATGATGCGCTTGGACGCCGCGTCCAGGCCAGAGGAAGGCTCGTCCAGGAGGACGACGGTCGGGTTGCCCATCAGGGCGATGCCCAGGCTGAGCTTGCGCTTGTTGCCGCCCGATAGGGCCGCCGCCATGCGTGTCTCGAACGACGCGAGGCCCACGGCGTTGAGGATGGCCGACACGTTGTGCTCGACGTCCGCGATTCCGCGCACCCTGGCGTAGAACTCGAGGTGCTCCCGCACCGTCATGTGGTCTACTGCGTCGATCTGCGGGCAGACGCCCAGGTTCGTGCGCGCCGCCGCTAGGTCCTCGGTGACCGAGTCTTCCTCGACAAGCACGTCGCCTCCGTTCCTGCTGGGCTTGATGTCACCGCGGATCAGGGAGATGGTCGTCGACTTTCCGGCACCGTTGGGTCCTAGGAGGGCGTACACCTCGCCGCGTCGGATGCCGAAGGTGACGTTGTCGACGGCGATGTTGTTCTTGAACGTCTTGGTGAGGTGCATGACGCGCAGGCCGTTCTCCCGCGAGCCCGTCTCTTCCAGACGGGTCAGCTCCTTGCTGACCTCCTCGTCAACGTCGCCCTCCGAGTCTGGCACGCGGTCCTTGCGGAACAGTCCGCGCACGGACGAGCCGACGGATCCGCTGTCGAACCAGATGACGAGCAGGAACAGGATGACGGACTGCAGAATGAGGAAGAGGATGGGGCCTCCGTACTGGAGCATAGCGCTAGGGTCCGATGAGATCTCCTGCCCATCGCAGGTCGTCGAGAAGAGGTTCGTGGTCACAAACAGTGCACGCATGGCCGAGCCGATGGGGACAAAGGCCGAGATGACGAAGTGCACGACGCGGAGGCTCGACTCGATGTCTTCGACTGCCACGTACGTGATGACGCACAGGTAGGCGATCAGGTACACCAGGAAACCGACAACCTGGATGCCGGCGGCCCAAGCATACGTGGCCAGCTGCGTCTTGGTGAAGAGCGAGATGAAGTAGGCGAGCACGGTCGAGGCCAGGCCGTACAGGAACAAGACGACGAAGACGTACTCGACGTGATACCACATGCTCGACAGGCTGACCCATACGACCGTCACCAGGGCGGCTGTGCCGAGGGTGAAGAGGAAGTCGAAGACGAGGTAGGCCATCCACAGGGGCACGGGACGCACGCCGTTGGAGTACTCGAGCCCACGCACAGACCACCGGCGCTCGTGGCTCGGGTAGAGAGCGAAGAAGGCAGGGTAGCATGCGAGCGCGAGAGCCATGTAGATGACGAGGTTGAGCGAGTCGCCCGTGCTGGGGTTGAAGGGCACGGCGAAGGCAGACCAGGTCGTCTGGATCGTCGTGTTTGTGAGCACGCCGTCGAGGAATTGCTGGGCGAGTATGGGGCTCGTGACGAAGAGGTTGGCCACCCAGGCGAACGTAGCCGGACTCGAGCCGTCTCCGAGCCAGAAACCCGTCGTTGCCTTCTCACGGTTGCTCTCGACGAACTCGGTGAAGTCTTCGTATGTGTCGAGCATCTGGATCTTGCTCAGGGCATCACCACCCGATCCGCCGCCACCGTCACCTCCGTCGCCTGCGAAGAGTGGCCCGAAGAGCCGCGTCAGCGTGGCATTTGTCAGGCTGGCCGCCGGGCCGGCAAAGAGGCTGATCACATCATCCGTCTCCTGGCTCTGCGTGAAGGCATCCTCGGTGCTGGACTTCGAATTGCGGTCGTTGGGAGAGCAGCCGGGGAGGTCCTGGCCGCTGACGAAGAGGGATGTGAGGCCGGCAGCGAAAACGGGGAGGACAAAGGCGATGAGGTACGTAAGATAGTTGCGCTTGAGGACGGTAAGACGCTTCTTGAACAGGATCGAGGACTGCTTGAAGTATCCGATGAGCTGACCGTCCATGAGCTTGAGGCCATCCTCGGAAGAGGCTGTGTCGAGGTCCTCGTCTGGGGACGTGCGTATCTTCTCCTTGGCGTACGTCTCCTGATGGGCCCCACGGAAAGCCTCCTCGTCCCGGATCTCCTCAGCCAGCTGAAGGAAGACGTCTTCGATTGTCGGACCGGAGAACCGGTAGTCCGCGATCCCAGCGTCTTCGAGCTCCTTGATGACGCGGGCCGACAGCGTGGCGGACGGGGAGACGTAGATGACGAGGTCGAGCGTCTCCTTCCTGGTCACGCCCTCGACATCGGGCGCCTTCAGTCCGGGCGCTCTGTGGACGGTGACCCTATATCCGCCACCGAGCCTGTCCTTGAGCTCGACCGATGAGCCCTGAGCGCGCAGCGTGCCCTTGGAGAGGATGGCGATGTGGTCGGCGAGAAGATCGGCCTCGTCGAGGAAATGCGTCGTCAGGATCATTGTGCGCCTTCCACGCTCGGCAAGGAGGATGTCCCACAGCTTCCTCCGCGACAGGGGGTCGATGCCGCTGCTGACCTCGTCGATGCAGCACACGGCGCTGCCGCCCGTCAGCATCATGCCGAGCTGGAGCTTGCGCTTCTGACCGCCGGAGAGGGTCTTGGAGAGGGCCTTGCGTTTCTTAGTCAGGTCGACGGCCTCGATGAGGTCGGCGATCTCTCGGCGCGAGGCCCTCGCATCCGGGCTCTTGAGACGGTTGAATATGTGGAGGTGTTCCTCGACAGTCAGGTCATCCCACAGAACATTCTTTTGCGGGGCAATGCCGAGACCGCCGGTGCCGTCGATGGTGATGGTGCCGTCAGTCAGCCTGTGCAGACCGGCGATGGCGTCGAGCGTGGTGCTCTTTCCACTGCCGTTGGCACCGAGGAGGGCGACGATCTGACCGCGTCCAGCATCGAAACTGAGGTTGTCGACAGCGACGACGGGGTTGGCAGGCTTGGACTTGGTGGCGAACAGGCGCGAGAAGAAGCTGGGCTGGTAGATCTTGCTGAATCCCCGGAGCTCCACGGCATTATCGCCGTGGTCGGCCGAGGCGCCGCCCCTGTACTGGCGGCCCTTGGTGGACGTACCGTAGAGGTACTGCTCGATGACGGCGCCGATGAGGGGGTATCCAAAGATGTGAATGACGAGCATGATCCAGAAGAAGATCCCAGGGAGCTTCCAGGGGCTCGAGGGCGGGTCCTGAGCAAGGTCCGTAGGCCGCCCCACACGCTCAAAGCGAGCCATGAAGGTGACGAAGTAGACAAACGTGCAAGGTGTGAAGAGGACGGAGAGGACGGCGACGATGACGGTGTCGGGCTGGGTGATGGACTGCGCAAGGATGGCGAGGAGCAGGCAGGAGAGGATGGCAGTGATGCCGCTGAGCTGGGCGCGTCTGAAGAAGGAGGCGAAGAGGATGGACATGGAGGTGAAGGCGAGACCGCCGAGAAGGACGAAGAAGAGGACGATGGCAACGCTGGTGTGGGGGAAGACGCCCTGGCGGACGATGATGGACGAGATGATCCAGGCGGGCGCGTAGACGATGCTGAAGGACAGGTGGTGGGCGACGATGCGGGCGGCGAGGCCGGTCCACTGGTAGCGGACGGGCATCATGGCGTCCACGAGCTGGGACATGCCGCTCTCGCGCTCCGAGGCGATGAACCCGGTGAGGTGGTAGGTGACCCAAAGGACGGAGGCGACGAAGACGACACCCATGAAGTTGACGATGGAGCGCTGGTACAGCTTGCGGACCTCGGCCTCGCGCTCTTTGGGCGTCATGCTCGTGTAGGCCAGCTCACCGACGCCGTCGAGGGCGCCGGAAGTGCTGTCGTCGAGGCTGGCGATGGCAGAGTCGACGGCGTGCTGAAGGGGGATGAGGTAAACCTGCTGGGGGTTGGAGTCGGAATCGACCTCGATCTTGGAAGAGGCGCTGGAGAAGGCGGCATCGGAGCGGATCGTGTAGTTCCAGAAGGTGGCCTGCCCCTGCTCGGGGCTGGACCGTACGATGACGGCGCCGTAGCAGTTGGTGACGCCGCGAAGGCTGCTGGGGCACTGGGCGGCGATGTCATCCTCGCTGTCCAGGCGGACGGCGCGCATCGCATCGTTGGCGCTCCCGATCTGGGACTCGAGCCTGTCGAGGACGGCGTCGATCTGGCCGCCCGAGGGCCCGGCGTTGACGAGCAGCACCTTGTCGCGACGGCTGCCGATCGCGGCGGCAAACGCATCGTCGAGCGACCGGACGGGGTGGACGCCACTGATTCCAAATACGGCGGGCGGGACGAACAGGTTCTTGGCGTAGCTGAAAAAGGCCGAGAGGGCAATGGGCACGATAAAGGCCATTAATATGCAAGCGGTGGAGTGGCGGAGGAGGGTGCATCGCCAGTTCTTGATCATCAAGGTCCAGATCTGCTTGGTGACGGCCATATCGACGAGTCGGGAGAGGAGATGACGACGACCTCTGTCCTCGTCTCTTCCCGAGGAGACGGGAGAGCGACCGTGAGAGTACAGTTACTCTGTCGTCGTCGTCGTCGTCGTCGTCGTCGTCGTGGTATACCCGTCGTCAAAGATGTGATACTGAGAGGAGTGAATCTATCTACTGGAACAGTTTGGATTGACGTAAGTAATGTTTGCCGGGAAGAAGAGCATCAAGGGGAAGGAACAAAGGGCTCACGTAGAGGAGGCAGGCGCGAGCCGAAAGCGGAGTGAGGGAAAGGATGAGGTGAGATAGAGCGCCTCGTCTCTGCCTCATTGTCTTCCTCACATGCAGGCTTCCGAGAGAGAAAAAAAAAAGTGGAATGGTGGGCAAAAAAAAAAAAAATACAAGAAAGAGTGGGAGGAATAGAAAAAGAAAGAAGTGAATTGCGACGCGCGACTCTCCATGCCATTCACGGAGTTAGCAATCCTCATCCCCGACTGGGGTCAAGGTGGAGAACCAACTGACGACGGTGCCTCGTGGTCTTGGGCCCAGGCTCAGTAATGGTAGGCGGTGGGTGATAGCTTTCTCGTAATATCTGCTCCGTACGTTATGCGGAGCGATATTAATCAGGAGTAATATAGCATCAAGTGGTCAGGAACGGGATTCAGAGGATCGGGGCGAGTATTGAGCCGCCGGGGTAAAGATGGGGAGTACGAGCAGATAGAAGAGGTATGCGAGATAGCCATACCTCGACGCACCCATGCAGTCTGATAGGATTGATATGATAAAAGATGGGAAGAATTCATATCGAACAGAGCATTGGTCTTAGCAGGCTGCTTCTGCACATCCGGCTAGATACTATTATCACAGCATATTCCCGATGGCATATTCTATAACCTGTAGACCGATACCGAGCTGCATTTAGTGGGACTCACCTACTAACGGCCGCCGTTGCACGCCACTCACAGCGTCTATAGACGCCCGAAATCTGCCCATCTAGGTGCTGAGACCGGCTCGGGCTTGGTGAGAGTCGTCAACGTTGCCGAGCAATTGCGGGGCCGAGTTGGATCGCTTGGATCGCTTGGACGGCCGGGATTGAGCATCAGAGAGGCCTTCCATACTATCTAATCAGTACAATTGCCAGTCAGAATACAGATTACTCTGTACGGGTACGGATTGCATACGTGAGAGCATCGATACTGTTCTGTAACACCTTGATGTGCTCCACCATAGCATCACTACGGAGTAATCTGTACTGGGAGTATTATTTACGAGTAACCCGTACAGATTTACTTGTACATGTGTTATATATATGTACGGATTACATCCTGTACTGCACCCCATCCATCATCACTCATCTCAGCCATTCACTGCCATCCTGGACCATTCATCATCGCCTCTGATCATTCGCCAAGACCGCCCTTTCCCTTTTCTATCCGACTTGTAATCTGTATTGTATTGTACGAGTATGTACAGCTAATACTACGCGTCATCAAGGCAGATGAGTGTCCTACGTGCTGGCGAATCTGTAGTGGGCTGTAACCGACCGTTGCTCCCTTGACACAGGTTTCACCGACGGCCGCCGCCGGCTCCACTGGTCCCCCCCCCTCAACATCATCTGAGACAAGTTCTGCCTCTCCAATCTCACCAGCGGGTGGGAGCGCCGCAGCAAAGCTCTGTGTGGCTGTGATCCGATTCTGTATGTTCGCCCTATTCTCTGCTCCCTTCACTTCGTAATATCGCCAAAGCAGTCACATCACTAATTGCCGATCACTCAGGAATGAATCCCCCCCCCCCCCCCCCGCCATACTCCTCGGCATCATCTCCAACATACCCCCCTCCGTCCTCATCATCGGCAACCATGTCGAACTCTTCGGTGACGTCGCTCTGTGCATCCTCCAAACCACAGTCATCGAAATCACCATCATCGCCATCACCGCTACCGTTAACCCGATGGCCTTCCAGGGCCTGCCGATCAGCCTCCCTCCTCTCCCCCTCATCCACCCCAGCCCACACCCTTTCCCGTATCCGCAGCGCCATGAGGAACCTCCTCCAGCTTTTGAGCGCCCTGACTTTGCGCCTCTCGAGCTCCGCCTCCCTCTCCAGGTCGCACAGCCCCACCAGCACCTCGCGCATCGCCCTCTCGTGTTCTGCCGCCACCACTACCCCGCGCAGCACGGCGGTGCCCTGCCTGCCCTTGAAGGAGAAGCCCGTCAGCGCGGGCGCGTAGTCGATGCCCAGTAGGAACGCCGCGCGCCCGGCGTTCTCCTCGTCCACGTGCACGCCGCCGCGGGGCACCATGCTGGGGACGTACATGTCTATATTGCCGAATTTGTTCTTCGGCACCCGGCCGCTGCGCACGGGCGGAGCCACATACGGCTCCGTCTGATCCAACCTGTAGATTGGCGTCCCCGCACTGTTGCGGTCGCCGTCGTGGTCGCGCGTCTTCTTGGGAGGCAGCCACTTGGCTGGTATCTCGTTGGGCTTCACCACCCGGCCCGCCGCGCGGTACCACTTGTCCGCTGTGCGGGCCACGCGCACGTCTCTGCGGCGGTATATCTTCTCCAGTGGGGCTCTGGCCCCCGCACCCACGGTTCCCGATGGTGTAGCCCCCGGGACGAGCACCTCGTGTCTCCGGAGATGTCGCTCCAGAGCATAGATGGGATGGTCCTTGAAGTCCTGCACGTTGCGCGGCATGGGTTCTCTGGCCTCAATGCCCGCCAGCTCGTTGTCCTCGATCTGGTCGAGGTCCTCGCGCCGTCGTCGGGAAAAGGGCCGCAGGACCATCCGCCACCATCTTGCGCCGTCTTCCAGGCCGCTCTCGATCCGTAGCCGCCGCGTCTTGGCCGTGTACGCCTTGGCGTATCGTCTAGTCACATCTTTGGCTGTGCCGTCGGCCTCGAACGCCACCACATAGGTCATGCAGTTCTCCCTGTCTGACGCGGGCGGCTCTAACACATGGGGTTTCCAGAAGCTGTGCGTCACCACGGCATCTACGGGCTGCCATTTCTGGTGCCCGACGTCTAGTACCTCGACCCAGTAGATGGGGTAGGCTGACTCGCGGATGTTCTTGGGCGTCGCGAATGTTGACCGACGGTCTGGTGATGACGGTGATGAAGTTGCCGTGGCGGATGTGAACCCGTACGATGCCGCGTCTGGGTGACCCAGCCGCCGGCGTGCCGTAGGTGGGCCTGCTGCTGCCACCACCGATGCCCTGGCTGCCACAGACCTGGCCTGGAAATTCGCCATCGAGGCGCGCAGCTGTTCACCCTTCTCGGCCTTCTTGGCCTCCGCTTTAGCCTTGCCTTTAGCCTTGGACTTGGGGAGCGTCGGTGCCCCGGCTGTCCAAGTCAAAGGCTGAAGGGAACAGACCAGCCGCGTCCTCACGCCGGCGCTACGGAGCAAGGCACAGTAGAGCTGTGCGCCCACATCACGCGATCCTTGGAGTGTCTTGGCCGCGTTCCTAAAGTCTTCGCGATCCATGCAGGAGTCCATGTCCTCCGGAGGTTCATACTGTCCCAAGGTACAGGTACATTAGCATCAGCAACCCATGCGTGGTGGAGGATACCAGCAAGACCCATACATTCCGTAGTTGCTCGGCGTCTTCGGCCCAGAGAGCACGCCGCAGACCCCGCTCTGTCTTCTCGAATCTCGTTTTCCACATGGCATCGGCCTGACGCAGCCCGTTCTTGAGGCTCTCGGAGCGACCAAACTGCGACAGGTTGGCCCCGGGGTTCAGGTACATCACTGTCTTGTCCGTTAGGCGGCGGCGCAGGTGCTCCTGAACTTCGGAGTCATTGCACCACTGATTGCGCCGCGCGGCGTGGAAGAGCAGGCACAGGACGTGTGTCTGGTGGATGGTGATGCGCTGCTGCTTCTCCTCGCGGGTCATGGGCTTGCGCCGATCGGCCGTTGATTTCCTTACCGATGTCAGGGATGCTTTTTCGGTTGAAAGGTCTAGTTCTAGGTTGCCATCTGCCGCTGCTACCGTCGACTTGAGCGGTGCCATGAAGTCGACGTCCTCGAATTGAACGTTCTCATCGTCGTCGTCTTCCTCGTCCGAATCCACCTTCATTGTCTGCACTGTCGGTGCTGGAAGGGAAACATCTTCGAACTCGATAGCCTCGTCATCGTCGTCATCGTCGTCATCGTCATGTTCGGCCTGCTGTAGGGCCGCATCCTCTGCTTGGGGCTGTTGGCCCGCGCGGCGCCTCTTTAGCGGACGGCCGGTGTGTGGTGAGCGTTGCTGCTCCTCCCGCTGCCTTGACACGCCGACCTCGGCCAGCATGGCCTCGTATACGCCTGCTGCACCCTGGGTGCTGGCATTGCCTGTATCTGTGCGCTTTCGCCGTGCCATTGTGCTTGCCTGAGCGCCGAGCGGACGGCACGCGACGTCATGCACCTGCTGTGATTCACGGTTCCGACAAGTCAGGGCGTCTTTGCGTCATCGGTTGGCGCGCAGTCACGTGAAGCAGGAGAACTTAGATCGGGATCCTATGATGAAATGGGGTAATACGTGTGTTGTCTGCCCCTCAACATGAATTTCTCGATGACCTTAAAGAATATGGCAAGTATTGATAATAGCCGGTTAATTGGGCCAGACTATGAAAGCCAAAAATAAGAAGCACAAGAGAAAAGCATGGACAACGGTGTTGGTGAATGTTGGTAGAGAATCTGCTGTTGTCTGACCCTTGTCAATCATAAGCAGGGGGGGGGAGGGGTAAACCCCCATATTCAAATTATTCGAGAGAAAGCGACACAGACCTCGGATTCAAGCATCCGAGCGTCATTTCCAATAGGAAATCAGCTCAAGTAGTCTAGGTGGTTAGGGCACCACGTTGTGGTTTACATACCGGTACCGTGGAAACCTGAGTTCGAGTCTCAGCTTGGGCATTATTTTTTTCGGCCATTGTCCAAAATTTTTTTGTCTTACCCCCCCCCGGTTCTACCTCGTTTGACAGACCATACAAGGAACTTCTGCTGCACCTCGAACACTCCGTCGTCTGTTGTGAGCGTTTCCATACTTTTGATTCGATTCAATAAAGGGCTAAAGGAGGGATACCGAGACACAAGAGATACTATTTAAGCGCTATACTACTCCGTGGAAATAATTACAACGAAATCACCACGTCAACCAGCGTCCAAAGCACCGAGAGTACATATCCCCCCCCCCCCTCTCTTTCGCCAGACTTTGGTATCTACTGGGTCAACCATCCGAGGTAATCGGCAACAACCAGTGTGGCCATGCTACGTCGGTAGCCAGTCAGCGGCGTTTCTCCAGAATAAGAAAGGAATAAAAGACAGCAGGATAAAGGAAACTTACGCGTGAGGAGCGATGCGAATATAGTAGGTCCCGAATCCGCGGTAGAAGCGCGTGATGCCCTCAGCCTTGGCGACCTTGGCGAAGCAGTCGACCATACCGCGGTAAGGAAGCTTCCCGTCAGCGCCCTTCTGCTGCTTCTGCAGGCGCGTCTTGACAAAGTCAAAGGGAAGGCTGAAGAAGCTGGCGAAGAAGCCGGCAATGGCGCTGGCGCTGAGCGTCTGGGCGCGCGGGGAAAGGGTCAGGTCGGGGCTGTCGCGCAGACGGGCCTTGGCCTCGCTGAAGAAGGCGAGCTGGCCAAAGTTGAGGGCCATGGCGCGCACGACGGTGGGGGCGGCACCGGCCCAGAGCGCGCCGACACCTTCGGACCTGGCAATGGACGACAGCGCGTCGAAGACGGAGCGGTAGTTCTTGCGCTGGGCCGCCGGCTTGAGCCCGTCGCTCTGCATGCGGATCAGCGCCAGGTCGGCCGGGTTTCCCACCATGGCGGCAAGGCCACCCGCCGTGAGGCCGGCGGCGGCCCTCTCGGCGAAGCCGACCTTGCGCTCCCCCGCCCGCGACGTCAGCGTCTTGATGAAGGTGTCGAAGAAGCCGATGCGCGCCGTCGTGTACACGGCCTGCCGGAGGAGCCCCGCGGACAGCCCAGTGTACAGGTCCATCACGCGTCCGCTGCCGACGATCTGACGCGTGACGGACAGGGCGGTCGGCCTGGCACCGGTCGACGTGCCCTCGCCGGCCAGCTGGATGCGCACCTTGACCATGTCCACCGGCTGGATCATGGTCGTGGCCACCATGCCACTCAGACCCCCGTTGATAAACGGCAGAGCCATCCGCATCGCAGGGGTGTGTAAGATGCCCGAAGAGACGGAGGCGATGTCGTTCTTGGCTGATGCGGCCATCTCGGATCCCTTGGACCGCGCCGACTCGGCTGCCTGCTTCAAGCTTCCAGATGTCATGTTGCGGATCGAGGCAGACGCTGTTGCGATATATATATATATTATACTGATGTGTATACACGGGCTGACGGGCAAGGTACCGAGTTCAGGTACGTATCATGGGAGCGAGTGTATGTGCAGTGTATGATGAAGCTAGACCCTTCTTCTACTTCTTCGCCTCTCGTTGATGTTAGCCATGCATTCTCTTGATGGGAGTAGAGCCAGTCCTTGGATCTCGCCGATGCCATGTCCGTTAGACACGGGACTCGACTAGCCGCACCGACGTGAACTGGTGGAGTTGGTGAAGCCCCAAGTCTTCCCACAAGTAGCTGTCCATTGACCCGGCCATCTGCTCGAACTGAGCAGGCCCAATCGTAATTCTCGTTTCCACGCCGAACCAGGAGACAGAGCGAGGAAGGAAAAAAGACCGTGGCGCTGATGGCTTGTCTGTGTCCTCTCGAATTCCCGGTGGGTCCCGACGAGCCGGACAATGCAACGAGTAAAGCCGAGTTTATTCTCCCCCCGCAGTCTTCAACTCGTCCTTGACGTCGATGGGTGGAGCCAAGGTACTAGACACGATAAAGAGCCAATGAAGAAGGGGGGGATTTGACATAGCTGGCGTGCAAGCTTACCTGATAGAACAAAAGAGGAAGGGAAGAAACGAAGTTTTGTCTACCTGATTTTTTCTTCTTCTTGTTCCAATGCGCTACCAGTGAGTAGGCAAGGTAAGATGTGATCAGAAGTCTCTTGACTTGCTCTTGTCGATTGAGCTTGAGCCGAAGCGGAAGAGGCGAGGAAACCGGGGTCTTGCGGGGTTCCCAGAACGGAAGTTATATTGAGTCAATAAACGGACAGCAAGATGGGGGAACTTGGACAGCGCAGTAGAAGAACCGGAATGGAGAAGAACCGGGGGAAGACGACGGTGACTTATCAAAGAGAAGGGGGTTCAGAGGGCAAGGAGGAGAAGACAGAAGGAGGGTTGGAGCCAGAAAAAGAGACGGAAGCAAAGTCCCCGGATTCTAATACGATTCCCACACACGCTCCCCGAGACTTACTCGCAGGGTCTCGTGCTCTGGAGAGAGAGGGAAGAAGTGTGCCGTCTGTACCTAGCGAGTGGCAAGATGCGGGGGAACAATACGGTCAAGGAGCCAGCTGACTACGACGCAGAGCGAGAGGGGGAGGGAACCGGCTGGTGCCACCTGGGAACGTATGCTGCTAGTTCAGCAAAGTAGCAGCTACTTGGCGGTCCTGTCTTGGTCTGCGAGGCCGTGTGTGGGAGGCGAGCATCAAATGACAGCCGTTCACCGCACACCCTCCCGCAATAACCGTCATCTCCCGAGATGGAAACCTACTTGGATTGGGAGCCAGATGCGACGTGACGGTACGGAAAAGGATTCGACGGTGTATATAGAGTTGTGCGTGCGTGTTGTTTGTGTTTGCGGGGTTCATTCGGAATCTTCTGCCAACACAATCACCTTTCTCTTCGCACCTCTGTACATCCGAGGAGCCAGCTACGGACGAGAGGAACATGGTTGGAGGATGCCGAACATGATCCGTGAATGAGGGGGGGGGGTTGGCATCTAGCTCAAGTTACGGGCTGTAGGTATCAGGTATGTCAGGTCTGTAGATGTATATTTCTTTCTATCAATGCCGTTTGTTGGACGGTTGATGGATAGGAGGAGTACGGAGTGGCGTCGACGTCATCTACATAAATATCGGCCTATCTACTGACAGCTCATGCTTACCTCTAGCCGTCATTATTACTGACTGCAAAAAGTGTCGTCATGCCTACCAATGAATGTGCAGACTTTACCGTTAACCGCCCAGGTATCACGATGGAAACCTCAATTGTTTGGTTTCCTTACTATTACTCAATCAATACGATACCGCAATTCCCGTGTAATAACATGGTACCCCCCCCCCGGCCAATAGTGGAGACTTCCATTCCCGAACGCCGGGCCCACGCGGAGCTCAATCCGGGACATGGCCGAATCTATCTGATCATCCCCACAACCCGGTCGCCAAATCTTGACAATATTTACGCATGAAGCCTGTGGCAGTGGTCATGCTGGTCGTCGGTGTGTTTTATTTTATTTCATTATATTATTTTACCTTTTTTGTGTCATGTGTCATTGTCTCATCGGGGAAACAGATACGGAAGCTTGCCTCTTCAAGTTGCTCAGTGGCGGCTCGTTGATGATACGAGCTGCCTCAGACTTTGACGTTGAAGGCATGCATGGAATCCTCCAGGTATCCAGCTGATGCGTTAATGTCCGCAAGTCTATCCATTGGCTGTCGGCAGCGGTCCCGGACTTGCCATTGACGATAAGAAGACGGTATTTGTCTGTACGATAGCGCTGAGGGTTCATGTGCCCCTTTATTGATCTCTACTAAACCCTCTTGCAGCCTTCCTTACCTCCCAAGCCTGTCTAGTCCTACACTTTCGTCCTTGTCACACCCCACAGATACGTCCCCGTCTCTTCGTGGCATGTCCGAGCGTGGGACTGTCGTGTCCAGCTTGGATCTAAACGTCCGCTTCCATGTCATCCATCCCGTGGCTGTTGGCGATCGCCTTGGTGGTGGTGGTGGTGGTCATCACGTCTTGAACACAGCGCTGCTTTTCTTCAACCGTAGATCATTGACCGATTACATTTGGCTTAGATGAATACCGTTCGCCGTGGCTGCTGAGCCGCTATATGATACCTTCAGGACCTATCGGTGGGGATCATAGGAAGTAGAGCACAGGGACTGAGGAGGCCATATAAGTAGCCGCCTTCTTCAATCTTCGAGGAAGGATCAATGTCTCTTGTATATCCCCCTCACTAGTATCATCCTCACTACCATCTCGTCACCACCTCGCTATTGTCCGGTAGACCTTGCCACTCTCATCTCACTGCACGCATGTGTTCTTGTCAGACTATTGATATTGCTCTGTTGGTCTATAAAGAGCCATACGTGGGATATCCCATCCGTCCATGACGAGGTGGTCTGACTTGTGGAAATTGAGCCCCAAAAGTTGTCGGAACTCCACCACCCGCGACACGGCTGGCTCTCGACTGAAAGACGCTGCTTACTGCTAGGCGACAGTGACGGCTGACGTACTGCTCACGACCTGTACGACGGACATCCACCTCCGCGTTTTCTATCGCGCGCGTCCACGAGTGGGTCTAGATTGGAACCGTGATACCCGGCAGATAGGGCGTCGAGGAGGCCTGTGATGCAGCAACTCCGTCTCGATACCTTGCCCGTGTCATTTTTTTTCCGGGGGTTTCACACCGTCTCGGATCTCCCCAATATCGGGGTGCGGGAGCTGTCATATTCGTGTACGATGTACTCTTGTGTATGTCGTCCGAGATGTGAATGCCGGGGTTGCCCGTCATCGACAAGAACTATCAGATTGCCTAGGACCCGGCTGATCTGACCTGCGATTCCTACCACAGTTTCGGTTCTCATGCGGATAGATGGGCAACACGTATTCTGCCGCCTCTCTGCCGTCATCCTGCATCCAACGGCTTCCCTTCGTATGCCTATCGTTTTCCGTGTCTGCAAGTGGCATATATATTATATAGACCGGGGGGGTATCTGAGATAAGGACGGATATGAGGGTGCTACCCTGAGCCTCCCGGCAGTTTGCTTTTATACCGGTCAGCTTGAGCCCAGAGACGAGTCTTAACCCGGGACAGCTATTATGGTCCTAGTTTCCTATCGTCTTAGTGTCCAAGGTTGAGAAAATCCCTGGTCCTGGGCTTCAGATCCCGACCTCCCTCGCCTGTCTCTGTGCCTGGCCTCTATTAATTCCCCCGCAACTCTCATACTCCAGTCCCGGTCTCTTCGACTTTTTCACCGGCTATCTCGTCATCTGTTTGTGTTGAGAATCCCTTCCAAAAGAAGACCCCTTCTTATTTTCTCTTCCTACGTCACTTCATCTTCGCAACCGCCTTCTTCGAGTCTCAGCATGGACAACAATAATGAAGGCAGAGTGGAAAAGGGCAACATGATAACAGGCGATGCAGCCAGCGACGCAGATGTCACTTCTATCCCGACTCCCGACACTCAGCTGGAAAGGAAGCTCCTCCGACACCTCGACCTTCGCCTTGCACCTCTATTTGCCACGCTTTACTTCCTGGCCTACCTCGATCGCAGCAACATTGGGAACGCTGCTGTCGCCGGATTAGTCGAGGACTTGGGTATCTCGGGATCCCAGTTCAGCACGGCTGTCAGCGTCTTCTTCGCCACCTACGTTACATTCGAGATACCGGCTGTGCTGGTCATGAGAAAGGTCAAGCCTCACCGTCTTCTGTCGGCCATGGTGCTCGGGTGGTCGATTGTCACGATCGGGACGGCATTTGTCAAGAACTTCCGCGACCTCATCGCCGTCCGCTTGCTGCTAGGTCTCTGCGAGGCCGGGTTCTTCCCCTGTCTCAGCCTGTATATCACCATGGTCTACAAGAGAGAAGAGCAGGTGGGTTGTCTCATCCCGGTTATTTCGGTATCCTTTACTTGTACGACCGAGCGACTGAACGTTATCGTAGGGCCTTCGTCTAGCCTACCTGTTCAGCTGTGTGTCCGCCGCCGGCATGTTTGGAGGCCTGATTGCCACGGGCATTGCCGAGATCGGAAACAGGCACGGGATCAATTCCTGGAGGTATGCTGAACTCACCTCATCTATCCAATGTTGCAGCTGTCTGATGCCAATTGCCATAGTTGGCTATACATCATCGAAGGAATCATCTCGATATCGACCGTCTTCTGGGCCTGGTTCGGCCTGCCGGCGGATCCTGCCCGGGCGAAGTGGCTTAGGCCGGATGAACAAGAGGTCATGAAGGTGAGAGAGATTCAGAGGCGGGAGTATCTCGGAAGCTTCGTCTTCGAATGGGCAGAGGTCGGTAGAGCGGTAAGAGACCCAAAAGTCTGGTTGACGTAAGTTCGGACACCACCGCTACATTCTCGATACCACACAACGTTCCTGACACGGAGTTGAACAGGGCTTCTATCCAGTTCTTCCAGGATATTATCCTGTACGGTTTCAGCACGTTCCTTCCTTCAATCTTGAAGAATGACCTGGGCTTTACGAGCATGCAAGCGCAGTATCTCAGCGTACCCGTCTACTTTCTAGGCGGTGTGGTATTCTTCGTGGGTCTACCCAACCCTTCAGACGCTGGCACATACGCTGACATGAAGGATATTACAGTCGAGCGCCGTGTTGGGTGATAGGTGGAAGCTGAGAGGCACCGTGAGCTGCACTTCCTCCGGAACTGCGACCAAAGGTCGTACGTGTCGACTAACATTGAGTATTACGTAGCTCCTCCTTGGTCTGGATGTATTTGCTGTCATCGGATATGCGATTCTGCTCGGTGTCGAGGACAGCCCTAGTGTTCGATACTTTGCTTGCTACCTCATCGCAATTCCCTTGTATTGTGGTCCTGGTCTCAACGAGATATGTAAGTGGCCTTGCGGGAGAATCCAGAAATCGAGGCTCAATGCTAACACCGGATCCCACCAAAGGGATCAACAACAACATGGCCCCTCACTACCGACGTGCTACTGCTATCGGAATCCAGCAGACAGTCGGCAACATGGCCGGTGTTGTGGCCCCACAGGTTTACCGCAGCGCTCCCTACCTTCTTGGCCACTGGTGCTCTCTCGGGTCGGCACTTATCTGCATGGCCCTCATCTCCACGCAGATTGCCTACCTCTACACGCTAAATCGAAAAAAGGATCAGATAAGCAACGAAGAGAGACCGGATGACCGGGTGGAGACAACGGGCGAGGGCGCTCTGGACTTTCGCTATGTATACTAGATGAGTGGGCACGCCGCATGTTGCGTTGCAGGATCACACTCGAGGAACGTCGTTTTCAGTGTGGTGGAATGGCTGAGCGGTGTCGTTTACTCGATACAGATTAGGCAAAGGTTGACCGATCGACTCACCAACGTACGTGCACCTTGGCAGTTCCTCTTGTCCTATAGTTTCCTAATCTCGCTTACTACAAGAAGACGGACGGGTGGGGTCTACGAAGGATAATGTTATAGATCAGGATACTCTGGCAGGTGATTTGGTTATCCTCGTGAATCTCGTGACTACCTCGCAAGTCTGAACCACAAACCCGTTGACCTAGAGACGAAGGAGGTCCAAGGATACGGCTCACTATCTACGTGTGATATCGATCTTGATCCACAAACAGATACCTAATCTCAAGCTGCCATCCTCATGATTGTGCCAATATGTCGTTCTCCAGAGTATCCAACAGGATCATATGCCCGGGAGCATGGCCTAAAACGGTCCCCTCAAGACCAGCCCTGACAATAGCCTCCTGCGGCGTGACACCGCAGCCCCAAAAGACAGGGACGTCCGCGTCGTCCCCCTTCATGAGACCAAGAGGTTTACCATCGACAGTCAGCGGCTTGTCACCCCACTCTGGCGAGTCAATATCCTGGATACCCAGCTTGGCAACAGCATCCCACCCCCAGGCAATGCACTCTCCGTGGGTGGGGAGGTATCGGCGAGTGATGGCGCGGACCTTGTCGACATCGGAAGCTTTATAGGACCTCATGGAGACAACGTACGTAGCCCCGGTGAAGACGCCGGCCGGATTGAGGGGCACGCTGGTCCGATACATGGACACATTGCGGTCGAGCACGATGTGGCGGGGGGTCAAGCCTGCCGCAGCCAGGGCCGACTCGAAGCTGTAGCTGCACCCGATGAGAAAGGCTACGTGGTCCGGCTCCCACTCATCTACGACGTCCACGACACCAGCCTTTGCCAGGACAGAGTCAACGTAGACGTTGAATCGGGGTGCGTCGGTTCGGATGTCGAGAGAGCTGGCAATAGCTTCGCCGGATTGAATGCCCGGGATGTAAGATTTGAGGTTGGCGTAGTCTCCCGGGGAGACTGACTCGGCCAACAGCGGGCACGGGACGGGGTTCCGCGCGCACAGGTCACGGAAGTCGGATGCATAGCGGGATGGGAGAACGATGAGATTGGCTTGTAGGTACGACGGCGCAAGGCCGGCGGTGGATTTCAGGTGCTGGTTCGACCGACTGGCGAGACGGACCTGAGCTCCTGTTTTGAGCTGCGGGGGTGCCATGGATGGTGGTGTGAATGGGGGCGAGCTGATATTTGAAAAGAAAAAGTTAGAATGGAAAGTGAAGGAGGGTTTTCGAGGACATCGACTTGATATATGCTATCGGCCATTTCCTTGATATCGGCGGAGTGCACATGTGCATGAAGGGCGGGGTTGTGTCTCCGTCGGCGATGCATATCTCTTGCCGTCCCGCAATCTGGGAGGGCGTCGGCAATCTGGCATGATACCGTCACGTTTATCGTCAGCCCTATATGAAAAGTGTGTTGACGCTGCCACGGACCTATCTTTACGTCTTGGAGGAGAGGCGAGTTACCCCGGTCCGACTACTCCGCTGACCATGCCAAACTACGCCCGGGTTCACAAGTCCGAGAAAGAAACATGCTGAGTTGGACATCCCCGGAGTTGGATAAGACTATTGCTTCGATAAATGGCGTCTGAGATATCTGCGGGCGAGATTCTAATAATATGCAATCTGTCGTCGACGCACTAATCCTGGCAACCCGCAACCCGGCCTGACCCAAACCCGGACCTTGCCTCCAGTGCACATCTCAGGAACACTGATACTGCGGTCGAAACAGACCGACCCGCAGGTAAGAGGGGGATCATCGTAGAGAGGCGCACTCAGAAGACAGATGGGAAAAGGCCGAGACGTCCACCGTCGACGAGCAAGACATCGCCGTTGACGTAAGCACCAGCTCGTGAAGCCAGGTACAGAGCCGTTCCACTCATGTCCTTCTCATCGCCCATGCGGCCCAGGGGGACCGCGGACTTGGGCATATCGTCCACCTTGGCACCATTAGCCGAAAGCACCGACGCCGACATGTCGCTGGGGAAGAAACCGGGTGCAATGGCATTGATGCTAACATGGATACCGATCAGTGTCCGGGACGGAAAGGAATTTGGAGAAAATAAGAAAAATACGCCGACCAAGAGAAGAGGCTTACCGAATGTTCCACTGCGGCAGGGCAACAGAGAGCTGCTTGGTGAGCATGGTGACTGCAGCCTTGGACTGGCCGTAGGCCCAACCGCCGGTAGGCTTCTTGTTGTAGCCGGCGACGGAGCTGGTGACGATGACGTGCGACGTCTGCTGCAGGTTTCCCTTCCTGTTGCCCGCGTCGAGGAGGGGGAGGAAGGCCATGGCGGTGAACCAGACCGCGGCCGTGTTGACTGCAAAGGTGCCGACGTAGTCGTCAAAGCCAATGTCGAAGTTTCGGGCGGCGAAGTCCTCGATGGTCGTGTCCGCCGCGATGGGCTTTGCATGCGGGCCGCTGACGCCCGAGTTGGCCACCAAGAGGTTCAGGTAGCCCGTCTGCTCTCTGACTGTCTCGGCCGCCTCGCGCAGGCTGTTCTTGTTCGTCACGTCGCACGTCAGGGGCACCACGTTGGGACCCAGCGATGATGCGGCTTGCTCGAGCACCTCACGGCGGCGCCCGGCGATGTATACCCTGGCGGCGCCGTTCTGGACAAGGGCCTTGGTGATCATCAGACCGATACCTGGCGTGAAGAGAGGTCAACACTCTGCCATCGTCCTCTCTCACCATCGGACACGTACCTGACCCTCCGCCGGTGATCAAGGCCACTAGGCCGTCGACGTTGAAGAGGGTTCCGGCTGCGAGGCTGCTCTCGTTGGATGCCATTTTGACTATCTACTCGAAGGACTTGTCGGAGGTGGTGGTCTCAGGAACGGTATCTAATCGCGCGTACATATCGCCTTCTTATATACTTGCATTGGGGTCAATTGCATCATCTCTGATTACTCAGAATGAACCAGATACACGACATGTCTACTACCGCTCACGTCTATTGTAAACTGTCAACGCTGACAACGTACCAAGAGGTGATGGTTCTCGACGAATCCAATTCAAGTTGTCATGGAATTTCGAGGAGATATGTCTGATATCCATGGAAGCAATACTGGAATGAATCAGGCTGTACGTGATATGCCTGCTCTATAATCATTTTCGTGTGTACATCTGGGTATTGCCCATTCACTGTCAAGGTTGTATGTATGTATTACTGGGTCCCACGTCGACCCCTCTCTGCTATGCATGCTTTACAATCATTCTAGCCCGGTGTTTAGGATAACTGCTGGTTAAAGCCGAAGACAAGGGATATCTCACCAAGATAAGAAGGAATACGGCTAAAGCCACCGATAACCCGGACTGTACTTCTCAACTCTGCATGTACTGATATTCTGTCGCAGGGAGTGAGTGGGTTGGCGATATCGCATATCCCGATCCGGAAAATACTGTGAGCGCACTGTACAGACCCTGGCACTCGGCATAGAAGAGACACTCAATAACCCTACAATAGCACAGTATGCGCCAAATGAATCCACACTCCAAGGGCCAGTTCAGAAAATAATAGTTTTTGATGATGCCTTCAGATTACTTACCCTCCAATAAATTATCCCACCAACCTTACCCTTCCAACAGACCACCCCCCCAGCGGTTGTAAACCCGCACAAGTCACAATGCCCAAGCGTAAGCGCTCTGAGGAGCAGACCCTCTCAGATAAGCTTGAAAAGTACTACGACGAAGTCTTCCGTGCCCTCAAGACAGCCAAGGGTTTCGAGCGCCAGCGTCTCAGCAAACGTCAGCGTGAGAAGGGCGTCACGCCTGACAAGCTGCAGAGGCTAGAACGCGAGGTGACAGTCCTGAAGGTACGTCTCCGCCTAGACCCCGAGCTGAATCCCAGCCCACAACCCACCTGCCCGTCTGCTAATGCCTTGCCTCTTCCCCCTACCGTAGTCTCTCGACCTGCACCAGACGGCACGCGCACACCTCGCCTCGTCCCTCCTCAAGGTGAAATCCATCGCCTCCTCGCCGGAACTTCCCGACCAGATCCGAAATGGCGTGTCGAAGCCCGAACTCCCCGAGGAAGAGAGGGTGGCCCTGCACAACGTCACGAGCGGCCTGTATAACCGGAAACAGGTCAGGGACGCCGTCGACCGCGCCATAAAGGTGGCCTGCACGCACCTCAAGGTTGATCCTCCCGGAAAGGGAAAGAAAAACGCCAGGGACGTGGATGAGAAGAAGAAGGAGGAGGTGGAGAAAGAGAGCAAGGATGGGGAAGAGCAAGAAAAGCCAAAACGTATTCCCGTGAGGTCAAAGAAGCAGGTGTCCGGGGAAGAAGAAGAGGAGACCGATTTTGACGGTTTCGACGACGGCCATGAACAGGCTGATGAGGAGGAGCTCGGCAGCGACCAGGAAGAGGCCCGGGTATCTACATATGACGCCCTCCTGGGCAGCTCATCCGACGAAGATTCCGGCGACGACGCCGACTTGTCACGCTACGAGAAATTCCGCGGCACAGAAAAAGTCAACCTAGACGACATATCCGGTTCCGAGTCAGAAGATGGAGATGAATCTGAAGACGGCGAAGAGGACAGCGAGCTTGAAGAAGCCCGCATATCCAAATACGACACTCTCCTAGGCGACTCGGATGGTTCCGACGACGACGATGACCTATCACGTTACGAGAAATTCCGAGGCACAGAAAAGGTCAACCTGGACGATATATCCTCCATCTCCGGTTCCGGCTCCGGCTCCGAAGCAGACGCATCCGACGACGATGGCTCGGACTCTGATGAGGATAACGACGACGTCGGCTCCGCCCCCCCCGCCGCATCGCCCTCGCCACCGCCATCTCCTCCGCCCGCCAAGAAGACGAAGAAATCCAACAAGGTGACCGCCACACCGCGCGACACGACCTTCCTCCCCTCCCTGATGGGCGGCTACGTCTCCGGATCCGAGTCGGCGTCCGACGTCGACGTTGTCGCGCCCAAGAAGCGTCGCGGCCAGCGCGCCCGCCAGGCCATCTGGGAGAAGAAGTACGGCGCCAGCGCCAGGCATCTCGCGCAGCAGAAGAAGAAGGGCCAGAAGGGAAGGGACGCAGGCTGGGATGCGCGTCGCGGCGCCGTCGACCCGGCCGACGCCGGCAACAGGACGCCCTGGAAGAAGGGCGTCGTCAACCCCTTCTCCTCCGGCAAGGGCGGCCACGACAAGAGGCCGCCGCCCCCACCTACCAAGAAGGACGACGAGGGTCCGCTGCACCCCAGTTGGGAGGCCAGGAAGAAGAAGGCGGAGTCTTTGAAGAGTGTTGCATTCACGGGACAGAAGCTGGTGTTTGATTAGGAGGTATGATGAAACAGAATAAAAAGCACATTTGTAATTTCTTTTTAGCGTTTTGGCATTTGGTATTGATGAGAAAATTATACATGTAGAATAGAAAAAAAAAGAAGAGGACATTGGTATACTGCTCAAGCGCTGAATAGTAGAATATGTGGACGGCAAAAAAAGAAAAAAAAAAGACATTAGACCACAAGAATCGATGACGGTGTTCATCAGAGCAAGTCCTTGAATTGGCTGAATATCGTACCCTGATGCGGCCCGTACATGGCACCACTCGGTGATATAGGGCTGTTGGCCAGCTCAGATGCAGTGCTGGACCGCACGCCGCCGTCTGGGTCAATCATGTTTTGTACACCGTTGAGGCCGACGTAGCCTTCGAATATCCTCGACATCTCCGTCTGAAGCCTGACACCGTTCTGATCCACGGATGGGGGCTCGACGCTCTGTGACGACTGCCGTGCGGCCCCTGTGGGCCCTGATCCCGTCGGCCGGCCGTTGGCAGTGTTGCTGAAGTGGTGGTGGTGCGGGTGGTTGTTGTTGTTGTTGTTGTTGTTGTTGTTGTTATTGGTGGTGGTGGTGGTGGTGGCGGCGGCGGTGGTGGCGACGGCGGGGGTCTGCTGGCCGGAGGCGGAGTCGACGTGGCCGCGGGCGAGACCTATCATGCCCAGGGCGGCTGTCGAGTGCGCGTCATCGTCAGGGTTCAGACCGAACCTAGGAGCCACGTCCTTGAGCGAGCGGATGGTACGCCATAGGCGCTGCGATACCCAGCTCTTAGCGGACAGGTCGCTGACGAGGTCGAGGGCCATGTAGAACTCGTCGCGGCAAGTACCGCTGAAGCGGACAGGCGCGTGTACCGAGGCCAGGAAGACGGCCGAGATGGCGGACATGAGGAACTGGTGATAGAATACTTGGATCCTCCGGTACAGGTTGGTCGTCGTGTTGATGTGATGGAGGTACTGGATCGTGTCGCGCGCTAGGTCAACCACCCGCTGGGCTTGCATGGGGTTGGCCACGATGCTTGTCGCACTGTGGAGCACGGGGGTGTATAGTAGGATGCGGAGCTGTGACGTCCATGTCAGTGGGACAGCACGTTGCATGAGAGAGGGAAAAGGGACATGCATACCTGGTTGAGCCTGAGGTAAGTCCAGATGCGGAGGCGGCGAAGATTATACGACGGTGACGTCGACATCTGTCGGTGCTCCAGACTCCAATTGCGGACCTTCATCTCGTCGGGTACCGTCTCGTACCACTGGAGGATCTCCCGGTCCAGTCGCTCTATCTCCTCCTGGTGGAGTTCCTGAGCTAGCACCGGCTCAAAGTTGGTAACCTGCCTCCAGACTTTGGCTGACAATTTGGAGTAGGTGATCATGACGACGAGGAAAGGATGCTCATCCTTGAGAATTCGTTGATGGGCCATGTCAGTTGGTGGTTCCGACACATGTCATGCGTAGCAGATAGACCCGACTTACAGGGAGCGGCAGATTCGGATCGATTTCACTGTCCTGGATGACGAACGGGAGGCCGGTCTGGAAAGCCCACCTTCTGTCGAGAACAAAGGCCGACCAGAAGCTGTTTAGGGCATCCTTCCTCTCGACTTCATTCTTGATCTGCATGAGACCCATGTGCCTATGGATGCCTAGCTCGAAGCATAGACGGGCGACGTGGCCGACGACTCTCCAACCAAGGACCTCATCATTGGAGAGATACCGGTAGCCGGCCACGAGAGCGAGGACATTCAAGTTGCTTATGCTGCTGGCTTCCGAGAGGAGCTTGTGGTTGAGGATGTTTTCCATGCTGTCAAAGAGCCGCACGGCTCTGTCGCTGTGGCCGTGCTCATCCACGACTAGAGCGCAGCACATGACAATCTTGAGAAGCAGTGTCTTGTCATCGTTGAGCATCCTGAGGGGTGGCTGACTCCTCAGGGGACCCATGAAGGATGCGAGGCTCCTGGCGTGCGAGATGACGGCTTCGATATCGGAGACAGGGTACATTGCGCCGACCTCGTCCTGGTGCAGCTGACACAGCCGCACCATCTCGTCCGGCTCGAACTCGAATAAAGGATCGGGTCGGCCCGTCCAGTCCGTCATGTGGGTGGCGGGTGCCGCAGCGAGAGGCCCCAGCTCCTCCTGCTGTTGCTGCTGCCGCCCCTGCCGCCGCCGCTGCTGCTGCTGTGATGGGTCGTTCCCCTCGTTGAATGACCGGTATCCCATATTGGAAATTGTATTCTTCGCGACATCCAGGCCGTAGGCCATAGTGGTCGGACCCTGGAACGAGCCCGTCTTCGGGTACGTCGGATCGGGTCGCCTGGCGGGGGTAGCGGCCGAGGACTGCTGCGGAGACGGGGAGATGCCGGGGGGCAGCCGGTCCTGGACAGGAGCGACGCGGGTGGGATCTGCCTGCATGGATTTGACGGTCTGGCCGAGCTCGTTGAGCTCATTTTGCAGGAGGGCGAGGTGGGACGTTATGCGCCTGTAATCATCCGTGTCCTTGAAGTTGTTAGTGCAGCAGTTGGGGGTGTAGAGGCACTGCAGGTTGAGGTTGCCGCACCGATGGCAAGGTGTTTCCCCATTGCACTTGATCTTGCGTCGCTTGCACTCGTTGCTGTTTTGAAACTGCTGTCAGCCACTTGACCGCGGGGACGGCAGCATGCCACCGTCAAGAGCGTCTGCGAGTAGCAGGCAAGTAGTAGCAGTCTACCTTACCATGCGATGGAGATGTACTAGCAGTTGGGGATCGTGGTCAGCCTTGGTCCCGGATGTCTTGGATGCAGATGAGTGCAGATGGGAGGTGGACTTCTTGGGAAACTGACTCTGTTCCTCTTGCTCCTCGTCTGCTTGGCAGTGGAACTACCACCGTCGTCCATAGACTTTCGCTTGTTGCTGCCGCCGCCGCTGCCGTCGTTGCCGCTTTCGACTGTCGCGATGGCGTCCGGTGGCGGAGCGGAATTGTCTCCGACAGAAGCGGAACGGCCGGGACTGTAGGGCGACGCCTCAGTCAAGGCGACTGGGGCGTGAGCCAGGTAATGCAGGTCTGTCGCCTGCGCGTCGATTTGCTCCATGGCGGCGGCCACGGACGAGAGAGGAGATCCGGCGGTCAACGCAAGGAGTTTTCGAGTACGATGACTCCCCTTGCTCTCCCCTTGCTCTTCTACGTGATTAGGATAAATACGAGCACGCGTTGCACTACACCGTAGGCTGATTGACGTAGCCGCGGATCGCATCTCGGAGACCGGGCCGAGGATCACCCGAGGAACGCTTGAGGGCGTGGGGGGCGGGGGGGGAGCCACAGTGTACGGAGGGGGGGGAGGGGGGGGCTGCTTACCCCCTGCAAGAACAATCTGGGGCTTCCATTCAGTGGCATTACTATGTATTATCAGTTTATGTACCGATCCGTATAGCTGGTATTATGGTATTATTATTACTATTATTGGAAACCTGGGCACCCCGCGTCAAAACTGCCTTCTTCTCACGCTCTAACCCAAATAATATTACTCATCACAACTACAGCATCCCGTACACGAATGTCATCGAGCGTCCATAGTGGCAGTGTATATCTGTAGTCCACAACCATCTCGGCCCCGGTGAAGAACGAGCTTGCGTTACTTGCGAGATGCACGTACGCCGCTTTTGATTCCCAAACATCATCTACAGCCACGACAGATCATCAGCACACGTGCATTGAATATCGACGACTACACAGCTCAGGCTGCAGAACACGTCGGTGGTGATGGGGGACACGGAGCACGCCCAGAATCACCATGAGGGGTCATGCGCCGAGCTTCATTCAGTTCGAGAAGGAAGCTGGACCGTCGCTCATGCTAGTATCGATTCAACCAGGCGACATCATCTTCACCGTCGCAAAGTCACGCCACTCGCGAACTATGATCTTCCCGAGATGCAACGCCGCCACCTTGGAGGTGTTTTGGGTCAGATGGTACCATGGAACGACAACGATGCTGCTGCATATACTGGTGGCGATGTCGACATCTCTACGCCCTTGCTATTTGGACAGGTGGCCAACGGCTTTTGCATTGTAGACGACGCCATGAAGATTTGGGATTGATCTCGGCGTGGTAGGCTCCCAACGATGACGCGGGAAAGGCTTCTAGTCGTAGGCCGGCATGCTCCGCCTTCGTTGACATATTTCAGAGGTTCGCTGGTACGACGGAATCCGTAGGCAAGAGGCAGCTTGGGTCTCGTAAAGAGGGAGCGAGGCAGCACGGCGATCCAGTCTGTGTACACGTGTGGAAACGTACGTAACGCCCACATAGCACTTGGTCCGTACGGATACCCGTCGCAATGATATCGGAAGCAGCTTGCGACTATCTCGCGGGGACAAGCAGCAGCAGAAGCTTCGTAGCGTGTGCAGAGTGGGTGTGCCACTCGCCCATCTAGGCACAATTGCTCTAACTTTCCTCGCTATCATCAGGCATGAAAGGCATCATCAGCTGCTTCATCCCCACTCGGGCGTCGCGAGAATATGCCATCACTCAGAGGATGGCAGGTCTGACCAGGAGGTCTGGGCAGCAAGACTCATGGGGAGAGTAGAGGGAAGAGCTGCATTGTGCGGAATGCACTTGGGACCTGAAGAGGGCCGGCAGGTCCATCCAGTGGGTAGACGAGGACGCATGATTGCGCCATGCATGTTTCCAACGCGCAAAAAGGGAGATGAATGGCACTACCCAGGAGAAGGGAGTCGACCATGTATGATGCGGGTGGGTGGTGACTACCTGCGGATGTTTTGGAGACAGCTATTCTGGGAGGCTCCGGTGATTGGTGGGAAGATGGCTTCGGGGAAAGGATGAAAGGAAAAAAGAATGGAATTTCTGGAGACAACAACACCATCGCCCACGGCAATGGCGACAGAGACAAGTCCGCCATCTCGACACTGGCTGGCGAGAAACCCAGTCAACTCCCTGGTGATGAACGTTCTGTTCTAGCATAGATGCATCTCGACACGAATTTGCGCTCGGATGCTCTCTGATCACCAGACAATAGTGGGATAAAGCTTTGCTCGTCCTCGTACCTTGTCCGGGACCGGGATAGTGTGGTATTCATCTCACACGAATGATGGATTGCTAATTCGATGGCGGGGCTATCACCGGACGGGACGTATGTTTCCTTGACAAAGATTGTGGAGCCTATAGGTCAAAACCCCACGGTTGCTGGGCTGGCCCCATAGAAAAGGATATGATGTGATGCCGTGGCCTTGTTGGGTCACATGGCGGAGAACGGGGCTGCTTGTTGGTCAGGGGTAAGGAGTAACGATCAGTCATCGGATCTATACGAGTACATGTATTGCTGGAAGCCGGGGGGGAAGCGGACCATCGGATACATCGGTTGCATGGCGAAGCTGTTGAATAGACGGTGAAAGAGTCCAAGTAGCAGACGACGCACCGCGTCTCGGGAGCTCCGATGGACCTCACGCGGGGGAAAGGTTGCTGATTCCCAGGTACGGGATGGTGATACTGACAACGGAAGCTCATGACCCTCGTATCCTCACCTGTGCATAAGGTTTGCTGTGGAGGAATTGGAGACCGGGCGAATGATTGTTGAAGCTCGACGCAGGTCGCTTGACCGTTTCGGCTACACGAAATGGAATCTATTACGATATAACTTCAATCGTCTCGGCCCAACCCCGCTCGAGGATTGCCAGAGCAGGTTAAATCTACATCCATTGTGAAGGCTCTTGGCATTTCGAGAAGGGTTATTTAGCAGGATTCCGTCGTCATCCTTACTTCATCTCTGCCAGCTTTTTCTCCGATACCAGTCCGACCTGGTTCATCGATACTACATGTCAGCACACTGCTATAAAACAACAGAACACTGGCCATTCTCATCACGTCTCCTGCGTCTTATCGACTGTTGACTGAACTCGAAGAGAGACCGATCAAGCCGCCATCCGAGGAAAAGGCACCATGGAGACTCCCGCAGTTGAGAAGTTTGTCTCTTCACTGAAAGAGTATGCACGGCAAGTCATCTCACCATGATTAGCTCCGTCTGACACTTCCTTCCCAGCTACTACAACACCGACACTCTGACGGATTTCGTCGTCGTCTGTGGCGACCAGGAATTCAAGGTGCACGGCGTGATCCTGTCGGGCCACTCCAAGTACTTCGCGACGCTGTTCAATGGCAACTGGAAGGTACGTACGCACGCAGTGTGGCGCATCAGGTTGACCCCCTATGCGTGATCCGGGATGTGTCAAACAGTGCTAACAGGCACTTTAGGAGAGCGCCGACAAGAGGATCACCATATCGGATTTTGAGCCATGCATCGTGGAAGCAATGCTCCAGTTCATGTACTCGTTCGACTACGACACTGACAGCACCGGGTTGGTGCACGACGCCGAAGTCTACCAGATCGCCGACAAGTACGACGTCCCAGGGCTCAAGGCGCACGCCCAGAAAAAGTTTAGCGCTTCTCTCAGCGGCCGATGGAACGTCTTTGGCTTCTTCGTCGCCATCCCCGTAGTCTACGAGTCCACGCCTCCGACGGACAGGGGGCTTCGGGACCTGGTCATAGAGGCCGCCCAGCGCCACATGGGCGAGGTGATAAAAGAGGACGGTTTTGACGACCTGATCAGGACAGCTCCCGACTTTGCCGCAGAGCTCATCCCCGCTCTGTATCGCAAGCTACCCTCGGTCAGTGGCTACAGGTACCGGTGCCCTACGTGCGGCCACCACTTCCAATGCGACGGCTCCGGGAAGTATTCTTCCTGCCCGAGCTGCGGTCACGGCCGTTCAAACTGGGGCCCCTACAGGTTGTGACATACAAGAAAGGGCCGGTGGATGTTGAAGTCACGGATATAGGGGACCGAAGGCAGGAGAGATCTTAACTGTTCTAACTGATACAAGATGGAGCCTGTGCAACTGCCAATGTTCGCCAATGTCGAACCCGTGGTGACACTGAGAGCATGCATAAGAAACCAAAAACGGCATCTAGAGTAGGGAGATGGAACCGGTAGCTGCGGGACAAGAGAAGAATATCTCGTCCGCCTCCTCAATCCTGCTATCGGATACCCGCTTTGGTATCTAAGGAGCGTTGCAATCTCGACAGAGCTCCGCAAGTATTATCTCTGCTATGCATATCCTCCCTACTTCAGCAGTGGGGGAGGACCCTGCATAGGAATATCCGGTATCATACAATTCATCAATAGGATACGAAATACGGGAGCTACACGTGCTCGTCTGGAAGGTCAGTGACGGCACCCAAAGTCTTGTATGAGCTCCAACTTGCTCGAACGGAAGAGTTCAACGTTGTGACGTATCGGTGACATTATCTTATCACAACCCCGATAGCTACAACTCATGTATCCTAGGCACACACCCTATCATTTATGTTCATCTTGAGGCCCCCGTGCGATGGGGTGCGTATCACATGTATTAAAGCGGAGAACGGGGCGTAGCTTAAACGATCTCTGATATCATTGTTCGCTCATGCCGTCCCTCCTCGCACTCGACCAGATTAGAGCATTCGTAATCCACAGGCAGTGCTTCTTGGACTGAACATCATCGTCAGCATGTCTCTCCAGGTCAACCTCACTGCGCCCAACAAGCGCGAGATCACTCTCCCCACCGGCCTATTCATCAACAATGAGTTTGTTGCTGCTACAGGCGGAGGCAAGATCTCGAGCATCAACCCCGCGTGAGTACCATCTCCCCGAGAAACTCTACAGATTTGCGTCTTTTTCATATCTGTTTTCTGTCCCCGTTACCTATGTAACGAAAAAACAAAACAAAGAATGAGAATAAAAAATGAAAATGCATCGTACGACGGGGGGTAAAGGTACGCAGAAGAACAACAACCATATCTGACACACCATCACCAGAGATGAGAAAGAGATCGCTGTAGTGGAAGCTGCTTCTGCTACAGATGTCGACAAGGCCGTCAAAGCCGCCCGTGCTGCCCTCGACGGCGAGTGGTCTACTATGGCTGCTTCCGACCGTGGTCGCCTCATGTACAGATTGGCCGATCTGATCGAGGAGAATCGGGAGACGCTTGCCACCTTGGAGACGTGGGATAACGGAAAGCCCTACCAGGTCTCCCTCAACGAGGATCTCGGCGAGGTCGTCTTCACCCTTCGTTACTACGCCGGCTGGGCCGATAAGATCTTTGGTCAGACGATCCCTCTGACGTCGCAGAAGATGGCATACACTCTGAAGCAGCCCGTAGGCGTCTGCGGGCAGATCATTCCGTGGAACTACCCGCTGTCCATGGCTGCGTGGAAGCTCGGCCCTGCTCTCGCCTGCGGTAACACCGTCATCATCAAGCCGGCAGAGCAGACCCCCCTATCCATCCTCTACCTTGCGTCTCTGATCCCCAAGGTCGGCTTCCCTCCCGGTGTGATCAACATCGTCAACGGCTACGGGCGAGTATCCGGCACAGCTCTAGTGGAGCACCCGGACGTCGACAAGATCGCCTTTACTGGGTCCACCTTGACCGGAAAGACCATCATGAAGCTGGCCTCTGCTACGATGAAGAACATCACACTAGAGACGGGTGGGAAGTCCCCCCTCCTGGTCTTCAAGGATGCAGACCTCGATCAAGCCGCCAAATGGGCCCATGGTGGCATCATGAGCAACCAGGGTCAGATCTGCACGGCCACGTCCCGACTTCTCGTCCACCAGGACGTCATCGATGACTTTGTCGCTCGCTTCACCGGCGAGATATCCAAGCACAAGATCGGCGACCCCTTCTCGGACGACACCTTTCAAGGTCCGCAGATCACCTCGGACCAGTACAAGAGGATCCTCGACTACATCGAGACAGGGAAGAAGGCTGGCGCCACGCTCGTCACGGGAGGAAACCCTCACAAGAACGTAGGCGGAAAGGGCTTCTTCATCGAGCCGACTACCTTTGTGGACGTCACGAAAGACATGGCTATCTTCCAAGAGGAGGTCTTTGGACCCTTCGTGACCATCACCCGCTTCAAGGATGACGCGGATGCTGTACGTCTCGCGAACAACAGCTCTTACGGACTAGGCTCTGCCATATTCACCAAGGATATCGAGAGAGCCCACCGCGTGGCTGCAAGGCTGGAGGCTGGTATGGTCTGGATCAACAGTTCGAATGATTCTGACCCCAGGGTTCCATTTGGTGGTGTGAAGCAGAGCGGTATCGGTAGGGAGCTTGGTGAGGCTGGTCTTGAGGCGTACACGCAGACGAAGGCCGTCCACGTGAACCTGGGACAGATGCTGTAGAATGATGCTCCCTGTATCGGAGACATATTGTGTATCTCCGACCTGGAACGTTTCCTACATGCTCGGCCTGCATATCTTGAGATCAGACTGTTTCTTGAAAAGTCCGCGCGGTCCTTCCCTCCCTTGGCTACCCGTCCTCGGTCGATTCCCTCGTCTCGTCCTTCTATTTGCTCCACCACTGCTGCAGCAGCGGACCCAATCTGTCAACCGGGTTACCGATAACCGCGTCTTGATGCCGGAGAATTTAAAAACACATCCGGAGCTCTCGATGGCAATGAGGCTTGAACCAACCCTATATTTGACGTACACTAGGAAACGCGAACGGACAAGATATCACAGCGATGAGTTCGGCTCTGATGTAGCTCCTGTGCCGTAATCTGTTTCTATTACCTATATCAAGCCATGACCTTGGCAGTCATGAGATTGTAAGGTTGAGTACGAGCATGACGAGTTATCAGTTGTTATGGCAGGTCACCATTACATGCGCATCATCATCACCACAAGTAGCAGTAGTAATCGTTCAGGCTATATATCATAACGAGGGGTTGAATTGAAGCTATGGGTAGTTACGCCCATTGTTCCAAGTCCATGTTTCTCGTAAGCATCTAATAAATGATCCATCATATCTTGGCAACAGACCGGTAACAAGGGTAGTTTCCGCGATCTAGCGAAGCGCGCAGCTCCCGAACACGTCCCTCGGTCAGCAGCAGAGAAGTGGGGAAGTCCTCGGGAAGGTCCTCACCCAGGATCAGACCTGCGGCGGCCTGAGAGGTTCGGAACCCCTTGATCATCCCGGTGGCATGGTAACCACCGCAGACGAACTGGTGACTGCGACCGGGGAAGGGGAGGGGACCCACAAACGGAAGGCCGTCCTGGGTAAAGCCGACGATTCCCGACCAGGCCATGTCGATCCTCGCATCAGGCTTGGGATCGGCAATGGCCTCGTAAGGGAACCCACGCAGGTGGGCGTGCGGCATCAAGTCGGTCACGCTGTCATCGCCGGTGGTGGTGCGTCCTGTGCATGCGCGGCCGGCGACGACACCGCCGTCCTCGCGCTGGATGAGATAGTCGTAGTCCTTGCGCCCGTACCTATACCAGACCGAGTACTCTGGCACAGTTCCCAGAGGAGACTGGCCGTCGTCGTCGGCGGCCCAGTGGACCGCATTGACGCGGACAGGGGAGATGAAGGGCTGCATCTCGGGGAGGAGATGGCCCATCCAGGCGTTTGTGGCGTGCACGACCTTCTTCGCCTGGATGCTGCCGCGCTCGGTCTTGACGGTGGCGAAGTCGTCGCCGTCGTCGTCGTCGATCGAATGGACGGTTGTGTTGGTCTGCAGGTTGACCCTGTCTTCTCCGACGAGCGTCTCCCAGACCTTGGAGATCCACTTGTAAGGCCAGACGGAGCCGGCAGGGATGGTGACGGCCCCGACACAGCGCTTGGACAGCCTCATCTGGCGGTGCAGGACGTCCGGGTCAGTCGTCACGGTGTGGAGCGCAGCGAGGTGGGGGGCGTGCACGCGCATGTCTTCGAGGGCCCGGACATCTCTCTCCCATACGGCCTGGTCATAGTAAGCCTCGACGCCGGTGGTGCGGACGAGATCGCAGTCGGCACCGTCCTCCTCCGTGGCAGCGGCAATGGCCTCGAGGTGGCTCTGCTCAAACTCGGAGATCTTGATGGCCTCGTCGATGCCAAACTCGTGCTTCCGCTCGTTCCACATAGAGAAGAGCATCGTCTTGATGTGGCCCCCATTGCGCCCGGTAGCGCCCGAGCAAAGGGTCCGGGCCTCGAGAACGACAATCTTGAGGTCGGACCGCTTGGCGCAGAGCGTCCGCGCAAGGGCCATTCCCGTGATACCTGTTCCGATGATGACAACGTCGGCCACCTCTTGCGGCCAAGGCGAGTTGTGGTTGGCAAGTGCATGCGGGTTGACGTGCCAGTACGGCCTGGTCCAATTCGCCCGCGGGAGGCCGGGGTCGACCACGCCCGGCTCGTATATGCCCTCGAGAGCTCCAGACATGTTTGCGGGAAGTCGGAGATCTAGACAGATAGCGATTAGAGAATGAGCAAGATGGATCAATGAGAAGAGATGCAAGCTCCGTGAGCGAAGATATGAGACGATTCAAGAACTAGAACAAAGCTTGGTTGCAAAGACTGATGCGCGTAGAGGAAACACTTCCCTTGTATAGTTCCTGATATCAAGTCTTCATGTGAAAGCTCTCGAGCTTGTCCGCACTGATGCCTTTTCCTCTTTAGGAAACTAAGATGAGACCCTGAACCTCCCCCACCAAACGTTTAAGCAGCTGCTGCTTCAAATGTTGGGCTCAAGCGGGGCATCCTTACCCACAATCTATTCGGGCTCGGGAGATGCAAAATCTGCAGATGGTTGAGACATGAAGGGGTACGAGCCAAAGAATACAGCTCTGTATTGCGCGGTATAAACGCTACTTGAATATATGTATAATATATCCAACGTCGGACTGGTATTCTACCGCCCCCCAAGTTGTATGGCCTGACATGAGTATCGCCGTACCTACACAACACCATATAATACCGCATAGACCCCCGATTGCAAGTTGGGGGGTCTCGAACTTTGCATTAGAGAACATCGGCATCAAGCCGATCATGGTCTCCCAAAGCTGTCTTGTCAGGCCATTCCTTGATGAGTGCACTGTTCCACTCCAGACGATGCGCTGTTTCGCATCTATAGATGTTCTTCGAGGTCTGACCCATCAACTATTACCATGTGTCGACTCCATGATGTGCATAAATCGAATTGACTGACTGTCACCATGCATTTTGAAGTGAAAGAGCGCTCCCTCATCACATGCAATCTCTTCCCCTCTTGTCAATGTCACATGAGGAACAGCTTCGCTTCTGCCATCAGCTGCGTCCATCTGCTCCCCAGATCCCTCTCTTCCCACATATACGGTAGATACTGTATCCCTCTCAGCAAATTTATGAACCGACTACGTCTATAATGTTGGAGTAACAGTCCCTTGAAGAACTCTCTATGTCTTTGCTGAGAACTCGCGGCAGCACCCAAAAATGTCGCCCACACCAACACATTGGCCCCCGGTTCATCAATCGATATCCTTTGCAGAGTCTGCATCAATAGCTCGACCTGCTGCTCCTCGGACTGTTCTCTCTCCATGCTCACTCTTCTGCATACGGAGGAGGGCAGGCTTCGAATCTCCATAGCTGCTTGCACGTATATGTCGTGAGCTTGCTGCATAACGTCAATGATGACAGTCGCAGTCTCCGGTCGGCCTTGGGAGCAGTGGCGGACGCAGTCGAAGCACTGGTCCCATCGGGATAGTGAAGTCAGGGTTTCCATGCCAGCCCATTCGCTGATGTGCGGCGCGGCGTATACCCTCATTCTAAGACCTTTGTTACCAACGAATGCTCTCTCTTTTTTTCTCTCTCTCTTCAAATCGAATGGAGATATATATCTCTCTTAGGAAGGGTCTTACTTTCGAACCTGCCGAATCAGAAACTTTCCGAGCTCGGTCTGGCTGAGCTTCTCTTCGCCTCCGAGGGCCTCTGTTGCCGAATACAGCATGCCCAGAATGGTCGCATAGTCATCCCTTCCCGTCACCATGGTGGTCACGAGCAGTACGAGGACAGCTGCAATGGTAGCTTCGGGGTCCTCGTGAGCTATGCCCAAAAGGTTACTCCTCTGGCGTAAGCCCTCCAGGGCTCTGTTGTAGAGAGCCTGTGGGCTGGTGGGAATCGGATCAGTCCAGGATGGGACTTGATGGTCCCGGGATTCACCGTCGTCGGCATTACACATGATGCCATATTCTATCCCGTCCCTTCTTGACATGGCTTCCCGGTGAAAGGCTGCCACGGTGAGGACAGCGGTCATGACAAGCTCATCGGTGTGGGCCATGGGGAGGACGATGTATCTCCAGCCATTCTGGATTCCGTCCAAAGCTATCATCTCTCCAGCAATATGTTTGGAGTCTTGTCGAGATACGTCATGTTAGACATGACCAGACGGAATGCCTGAGAATCTTCCCCAAGTCCACCTCATATGACGAGAACTCACAATGTAACAGCAGGCCCCGTTTCCAAGGAGGAATGTCGTCGAACGGGAGCTCCGTGAACATGCGACCTGACATGCTAGCAGGAGAGCAAGTAAGCGGTAGGCCTGAGCAGGCCTGGCTATCTGATGGCTCTCTGGAGTCCTCATGTTCTATGTCCCCGTCAAATTGTAGTAGAGCCCTACCAGGGAAGTTTGGAGAGGGAGATACGCAGTTTTGGATCGACTCCGAAAGTCCAAGGTGTTTCCATGAAATAGTTCCTAGGGATGTAACGTCGGCTGCTGTAAGGTCAGAATCCACCTCATCCCAAACCCCGACTTCCTGTACTGGTGACTCGCCGGAGTCGACAGCTTCATCCGCTCGGCTGAGAGAGAATGGTTTAGAATGTGCGTGGTGCACTGTGGCTTCCTGACGCTTTGCTGTCTCCCGTGATAATGTGCGCCTGCTGAATGATGAGCAAGCGGAAATCTCCGGCTCGGATCGAGGTTGGGTTCAGAAGTACTTTTCACACAGGCTCTGGATAGTCTCGCCCGCCCATTTCCCTCTGCTGCTCACACCGTCTGCAAACCGAATTCGAATGCTGTTATCAACGCCACTGCACTTCAACCCCCTCGAGCAGCATTTCCCACATTCAGGTACTCTGCGGTCGCATGAGACACGACGCCGCGAACACTCATAACAACCTGCGACGATATCAGGAAAGCGTTCTGCAGTGCGGAGAGAGCCAAGGGACCGGTTGGAACGAGGAGCAGGTACGAGACCTACCCTTCACCTTTGGGCGATAAGGGCGCTTTCGCGGAGGCGTTACTATGCGTTCGTCGGTTCGGATCACCATCATGTACGAGATGAAGATGGACGGCTTGACCAGACGGCCATCAGAGCTGCGATGTTTTGCCTGCCTCTGAGGAGGAGGAGACGATTTTTGAGACGGCTGATGATAATACCAAGAGTTGTAGAGGAGAGAGTGGTCTCATCTCACCTTGTCAGATAAGAGCAAGTGGTGGTGGGGCTTTGGGTCGGGGAACTGAAGAGGGAGGGGTCTGCATCTACATTTGACAATGAATGACAGCCTCACGCGGCATCAATGATTCCCAGGGGTACGAGACGCTTGCTCATGCTCTCAGTCGGTCCATTGGCTAGCCTGGGCAGTTTCCACCAGGACGAAATTTGAGAGAAATTCGGAAATCTCGCGCTTCTACAGGAACCCGCCTAGGTATCCTCTGGCAGTATACAATAAAGGTTTTCAGAAAGCACATGTTAAGGGTAGGGGTTGCAATGAGAGGTTATACATCTCTATCCTCCTTCTGTATCTTCTAACTTCTCCGCCTTTATTTATGAGAATACTTGGAGGAGCTTAGACAACTGCTAGCTGGATCTGTATCAGGGATCATTTGGCGAACCGCATGGAACTGAGGCGAGAGGATTCTGAGAGTGGTATATATCGAGTAGTCACTGACCCCGATTCCATCGAGGAAAGGGGGCAGCGATCGATATACATACTTGTGCTTGCCACTGATTTCTTCATTACTACATTACCACTTCTACCAAGCCTCTATGCGCAGACCCTGCCACATATCTCGCTACTCCCTTACTTGAGAAGACCTATTGTCTGACCATTTGACCCGCAACCCCAAGGGTTCTCCTTTGTGACTCCTCCTTGTAGGTCCTCTGTGCCTTACTTGCAGCTCTCCTCGTTACATCACGGCACAACGACCGTCGCCGACCATTTTTTTTGTCATTATGTATTGATTATGCCTGCCTTGACCAGCTCCTTGAATACTTACCTCACACCTCGTCTCCACGGGCGATTCTAAGGCCCGTGTGATTCATGGTGCCCTTCTATCCCGATATCCGGCGCGGCAACCTTTCAGTGTCCAAGAAGATGAACTTCGACGACGAAGGTCTATATAAGGGCCGACTAGACTAGTTGAACATTTCGCGTTAGATGGTGGGGAAACCTCTACATATCATGGCAGTTGCGTCGTGAGCTGAGATGCCCAGCTTCTTCTCTTCTATCTTCGTATGCATCGTACCCACCCCATACCCTCACTCGGCTCTCAAGCCATGTGCTAGAGGACCGGTCGAGATGGAAGTCTTGTTAGAGGGAGACGACGAGAAAAAGCAGACGTTTGAATAATATTGTGGGACCCAGCAGGATGCTATAGACTAAGCGACTACATGCCGAGGCTTGCCGTGATGGAGGCTGTGTGAGGTATCTTCGGATGGGGATGATGTTCCGTCCCATCGCCTTCACGTACAAGACATCGGAACAACTCAATACGTCCATCCGCCGGCCCTGGTACTCCAGAATCCATCGGGGTCAATCTGGGCCTGGAGGTCTTTGAGCTGCGCATAGTCCCGATACATTTGCGTCACATTCTGGTCGAAAGTGGCGTCGTTCATCAGCAGAGGAAGGTATTCATCTTCGTCCGCTCTCCATTCGGGCAACTTGGTCTCGAGCCACTCGGTCATCTCCTGGACGTGGGAAAGGCCGTCGTCATCGTCGGTCGCGGCGAGCCACGAGCACTGGATCTCGAGCACTATGCGGTCCGGGTCCGATGCCGTGAGACCCAGGGCGTTACCGCCGTGCGTGGCCGAATTCCGGCCGATGACTGCCGGGAATGGCTGGAAGTCGATGGAGCACTGCACCGCCGTTTGGAGGCTGCTCAGGAAGGGCGTCACTATGTCACGGTACTTGTCGGCAATCTCCCTGTACCTGCCCGGATCGTCGCTCGTGTAAGGGAGGGTAAAGGTCTGTTCGGGCCCTGTCAGCGTGGGGACGGGGGAGGCTGTAAGATGATGCATCTACACTTGGCTTACCCGGAAGATGTTTCTCGCAACGAGGAGTTCGGGCAAGGCGCTGTTTGATTCGAGCTGGTTTTGGGGTTCCCCTCATGTTAGCATCCAGCATAGTTTGCAGATTCATCGGTGAGACCTTGATTCCTACCAGATCGGCGTATGATCGGGTCCCGGTACCGTCCGTAAGGGGTACGATGTCGAGGAATGCGGCAAAGGGCCCATCAACGGGAGGCTCAGGTGCTTGGTAAAAGTAGAACATGAGGAATGATCTGGTCCCGCCGAGCGTTATGAGCGTCGTCATGATGATGGCCGCCTTGGTGTCGTCCTGGTTTTCCGGAACGAAGTTGTGGAGGGCGGCAAACAGCTCGTCAGCTTTGGAATCGCTGTACGTTCTCGTTCCACCCCAAACCTGGCCCATGGGATAGGTCTTGGCGGTGAATTGCGTGACGATTCCTGTTGATACGACATCAGCCGCCCATTAAGAAAAACCACATCTGGGAATACCGACCCAAGTACTACTATTCGGCCAGAGGAGTAAACATACCGAATTGATTGCCACTCCCACGCATGGCCACAGCTAGCTCCGGGTCTGAGTCGGCATTGACATTGACAATGTCGCCATTCGCCGTGACAGTCTCCCATTCAACAATGTTCTGAGCGGTAATCGTCAGCTTAGATGATTCCCCGGGCAGGGTGTCTTCACTTACGTCGGCTGCCATCCCATGCTGGGCGCCAAGAAAGGAGAGGCCGCCTTGCAGCAGAAGACCAGCGACTCCGACAATGCCTGCTCAAGAGTTAGTCATGTGCTGGCGTGGCTTTCTTTTCCGAGGAAGGGGGGCTCTATATTCTCACCGAGACGGCCTCCTAGGATGGCCACTCCCTGCTCGTCAAGAGTGCCGATAACGTCGTTCCAGGTGCCGCCGGGCTTGACGTACGCGAGCTGCTTGTCCGCGTCGTATGTGGTGCCTACCATGTCACTCATGGAAATGAGGACGCCGTCTTCAATGCTGGAGTGACGAGGATTGGGCTCGTGGCCACCGCTCTTGACAGCGAACTGAACATCAGGGTAGTCGTTGAGGACATTGACAGCGACAGAAACATCCTGGGCAGTCTGGGGGAAGACGATGCAGGCGGGCTTGACATCCCTGAGAAGGGTAGACCAGTATGTCTGCCTCTCGGCAATGTAGTCTATCGTCAGAGGCTGGGACACGCGGTCGCCAAGGGCAGTGGACAGGTCGTCGCAGGCGTTCTGCGTAGCTTCACTCGGACTGGCCAGGGCAGAGGTGGCAAGGAGGACGACTGTCCAGAGGACGGCACCGGAAGATTTCAGACAAGGCATCGTAGGCCCGCCCAGTAAGAAGAGTGATATAGAAGAAGAGTATAGAGAGAAGAAGATTGTTGTCTGCCGTGCGCACTGATAGAATAGCACGGATTCCCCAAGGACCCAGAATATAATATGTACAAGATGGCCAAAAGCAGGGGGATATCGACTTGGTATTTATGCTCCACAGACAATGGGGTCCACCATCTCCATTGTAAGACTATAATACCTCTGGTCCTAACCGAGATATTGTAATGTCGCTCTCTCCATTACCAGGCACATAGAGTGTCAGTGCGCGTATGGGATGTAATGCCCTGTAAAGCAAATGGGACGGAGTTGGCCCCAGCAGCGCGAATAAACCGGGCGTATTACTATGAGATGAATTATAGCGGGAGAAATTCCCAGGAAGGCTCTCCTGGAAGATTCAATACTCGTAAACGAATTGTTGTAGAGATCTTTGGACGCGGTGTCGCGTGCTACTGCTTACAGGAAGTGTTGCGAGGTTGACATTAGAAGTCCGGCAAATAGAGGCTTACATCGTGGATCGCGAGTCTCCTACGATCAGCCGTCCGATAGTCCAGCCTCGAGTATGCAGGGGACCCAAAAGAAACGATGGAAGCTCCATGGTTGCGCAATTCCGTCTTTATGTGCTGGGCTACTCGGACCCGGTGGCGTCACATAGTCTGCGCCGTTCAACAGGGTCATATTACCCGCCGAGATCCATAGCGGCCCGTGAAGTAAGCGATAATCTCCTTCAAGAATAGATTCCTGCAGGGAACTATCGATTTTCTTGGAGCTCTCCATGCCAAGATATGTCGTGGAGGCTGGACAGGGACATGGAGGCACGGGAACGAGTAACCTGTACTAACGTAACGTATTATTGGCCTGTTTCTTGAACGGGCAATGCCAAGCAATGTTTTCTTCACGGGATTGTAAGCACAGCTGATCGACATATTGGAAGATACGTAGAGTGGACAGACCAAGGAACCGGAGAAACCAGAAACCAGAAACCATACCCCTGACCCCCCCTAATATCTTGAACGATCCAACTACTCGTATTACGCATTGTAACCACTCAGGGCTTGCGCGTGCCAGACATCCCACTGCTGTCCTCTTGACTGTTACCATCTACTAATCAATGATACATGATACTCCGTACTCCGTATTGCATTCCCCAGTCCCCAAGGGGCCTCACCGCTTACGCAGCAATGAGACCGACAATGGACCTGTATAGTATAACCGAGACTATGGATGGCTTCTTCCTCAGCTAGATCCTCTTCTTCCTTTCTTCCCTCTTCATCGTCAAGTAGGTTCACTGAAGCTACCAAACCAAACCACCAGCGAGGCCAGCCCGTCACAAAGATCCTCTCGTCCCCTCAGATAAACATTACCCTTCAGGAAGTTATCTAACAGGGGGGTCGAGTCACCAAATCGATTATATTACATGTACATGTTATGTTATGGGGGGGGGGGGGGGGGGGGGGGTACGGTTAGTTTATGTCTGCATATGATACTGGCTACAGATTACATATATTATTATGATATGTGCAATGGCCACATTGAAGAAAGCCCCCCGTCAGTTCACGAATGAGATGAGAATCTATTATATGTAATCCGCTACTCGGGTTACGTGTAATATATCAATTAATCCATCAACCCCTCACGACGATCCAGCGACATGGATCTATCTCGGGCCTATCGCCCAACTTCGCAAGCAACTCGTCTGGACCATTCCACTACCCCAGGATGACTCCCCATGCCAAAGAAAGCATTGCCGACGCCACCCCATTATTGGGCTCTCGACCGAGTCCGTGACGATCCGCATCTCCGCCATCCTACGCCCTTCACAGGTTATGATGGAGAAAGCGGAAAAGAAAACCCCACGGATAAACTGCGCCACTACCATGTCCTGATGAATACGAACTCCCCCGGGCAAGTCCAGGCCTCGGCCTAGCTCTGTGCATTCTCTCTTGACCTCCTGGAGTCCCGATTCTTGAGTCCAGCGGTCTTACGTGTTGCTCTGCCAGAGATGTAGCCCCGTGTTTTGGCGTCAAAGTCTTTTGTCTGATTTCCATCAGATCGCAGCTGTCAGACAATCGAGTCTGCCTGGGGTAGCCAGTACATTATTGGGAATAGATGATTAGGCCTGTTAAGCAGTGGTAGGAGAGAAACATATAGTAGTTGAGACACTGGTAACGAGCGTGTATATATCAATCGTTTCTCTCCTCTTCCTCGACATGATCGGGGAGGATAGCTGTCCATGTAACCTCCTGGGTTCCTTCTACCCCATTTCCGTACTGTCCGTCGGTATAGGTGCCGACAGCAGTTCGTGGACACTGTTCTCTTTCTGATTTCAAGAGATTGAAGTTGGCTTACACTGATCTCGAGCTCTTGAGAGGATGGCCACCCCAGTATTATCACCTCTCATTTTCACATCTTCTTCCTTCACACCACCTTCAAGCTCTCCCCTCACAAGTCGATTGATCTCCTGAACATCAGAACCATGACGCTCGACTTCAATGCTATGATATGAATCCCACAGTGTGGCATCGTTGACCTGAGCATCCTGCAGAAAGCAATGCATATATTACCACCGCCGAAATCCACCAAGACACTTGACAGCCGTGCAACGTCTGTAGCAATTCCGCCCTAACGTTCATCAAGCTTGCAGATCAGACAGAAGCCTATCCTTTACAGCCTATCGACCAGGACGGATTGAAAATCGCCGGCTTGGGCCATCTGTAGATGAAATACACCCTAATATCTCACATTACTGCCACCAACATTCTATCCGCACACCTTTCATCTATTCGGGCGTATGGTCTAGGGGTATGATTCTCCCTTCGCATATTTGCGATTTCTGGGAGAGGTCCAGGGTTCAATTCCCTGTGCGTCCATGGGTTTGCTCTTTATCGTTCCTTTTTTCGTCGTTTTTTTTTCTCTTCTCCTCTTCTCATAATATATATACAAAATTTCCCCCTTTCATTCTGTATGTAATCAACCTAGCAGACCTCTCTCCGTCACCATCATACGTCTTCTTGTGCTGCCCTATTGATCCAACCCATACCCCGTATACCTTGTCGTCCTCTACGCTACATCATAGCTGCTGCCCCGATGTTGTTGAGACGCCTCGCAACGGCATCGTCATCATCGCCGGATCATGGCTCCCGACCGAGAGTCCGCGGTTGGGTTGTTGAGTAAAGGTCGACACGGCATCTACGAGGAATTACAGGGTCAAAGTCGACTTGCATGTGTGCCATACAGCGTTGATGCATGCATTCGCCCAAGCCCTTCTCCTTTGCTTTCCGTGACGGTTGCATTGATAGTATAAAGAAATGTAGAGATATGCCCAAGATTGAATACAGGTACTTAACCAAACAGGCGCACCTCCCCATGGGCCTTCATATCAACGTCGTCGTCGCCGCCCTCCTCATCGCTCTCCTCGTCGAGCGCGAGCTTTCTGCCGAACAGGGTGCCGAACAGACGGTCGACGGCCGACTGCTCCCAGGCGCGACGGTCCTCGGGGGCCATGAAGTTCTGCAGCTTCTCGTGCACGGTGAAGCGGATCTTGCGGCCCTTGCTAGCCTTGCGGTCGACGTTCTTGCGGGACTTTCCACCCGCCGACGCGGCCGTGACCATGACCGACGGCACGGCGCTGGCCTGCTCGACTGTGGAGTCGACGGTGCGCTGGTCCACGAGCTCCTTGAGGAGCTGCTGGTACAGGTCCGCATCGTCGTAGATGCCGTCGTCGTCATCGTCGTCATCGTCGTCGTCGTTGCGGTTGCCGCGGCGACCCTTGTTTCTAGCTGCCTGGATGGGAGCGCACGACCGGGCCACCTTGGTCCGCTTGACGAGGCGGTATTCGGTGTTGGCCAGCTGGTCCTCCAGGCTGCGCGAGAGAGTCGTCAACTTGCCCTTGTTCCTGCCGCTGGGGCCGCGCATATCGCCGCCGACCGCGTTGACGGCCTGCACCTTGGCCGACCACTTGTCTAGGTTGTCCCGACGCACCTTGGCGTAGCGCTTGTCGTCGGCCTGCATCTGCTTCCATATCTCGGCGCTGGCCGTCGAGGCGGTGAACTCGTACTTGCGTTTCGAGCCGGCGCGCGACGGGCCAAACGTCACGCGCAGGTCGCTGATGGTGTTGAGGAGCTTGGCTGCTGCTTCCTCGGCGGCGGAGTAGGGCTCCCCCTCCGATGACTGGTCGCTTGCGGACTCGTCCAGTGTCGGGAACGTGTTGGCTGCCACGAGGGCCTTTTGCAGCCTGATTCGTAGGTTCAGGAGCCCATCATAGATCTTGCGCTGCTGCTGAATCGCCAGTCCCTTTTGGATGTCGGCGTTGGCGGATGCCGCCATGTCCGACTGCTTGTTGGCCACGTTCTTCTTCTTTTTACCGTCCTCGTCATCATCACTCTCGTCACTCTCTTCCTCATCATCTTCGTCCTCGTCCTCGTCATCGTCATCATCCTCCTCCTCATAGTCATCTCCGCCATCGGCAAGCGCATCGAGCCCGTCGTCCATGTCTTCATCCTCACCCGAGTCATCCTCACCCTCACCATCATCCTCGTCGTCCTCGCCCAGGGCAACGCCTTCCTCATCTTCCGAGTCAGACATGAAATCAGCAGCAGTAGCCCTGCCGTTCTTCTTCTTCTTCTGGTCAAGAGGCCTGGAACTGCCGCGGAAGACGAATCCGTTCAAGCGCTCGGCATCGGATTCAGCGAGAGCGTCGTCGCTGGGGATATCCGAATCTGCCGCCTCATCCTCATCAGCCTCGAGATTGGCAGTCTCAGGATCGGCATAGCCCTCCTCATCGCTACCATCTTCTCCCTCTTCCCCATCATCCTCGTCGCTCTCCTGTTCGAGAGCAGCCCTAGACACCTTGGCGCCCCGGTACTGGGGGCCCAGCGTCGCGGGATCCTTCTGCCTGAGCTTACTCGCACCTACGATCTCGTAGTGCTCTGTCCCCGCGTTGGCGACATCGCCGACGTCGCTGTCGTTGTCGGATTGCACGCCGCGTCCCTCAGCCTCGGGGTCGTAATCTGTACGTCATTAGTTGTCAGAAGTGAGAAGGATGGAGAGAGAAAGGATGGAGAGAGAAAGGATGGAGAGAGAAAGGATGGAGAGAGAAAGGATGGAGAGAGAAAGGATGGAAGGGATTTCTACCATTGACAATGTGCTCATCTTCCTCAAATTGGGCCGCGCGACCCTTTACCTTAGCCATTTTGATGTTGTCGACCTTGGAAATGGGTTTTACCTCTGTGCATGTTCAAAGCACCCCCACGTCTGTTTTTTTCTTCTTTTTTTTTCTTCTTCGGAACTTTTAGGCGGTGAGTTGTGGCAAAAACTGACATCTGGAGCTTGGGGAAAATGTGGGCCAGCCAGCTCTCTCCATTGAAGGTTCGTGTTTACTTCATGAACTGTTAATTGCTAGCCGCCCCATCTCATTTCTGATGCTTACTCCTAAAGAGCCATCTTCTCCATCCGTAACCATATCGTCCATATAGAGAGCTTTGATTCGGCACCTGCCTCTCAGAGCTGATGCGTTGACGGCTCTCGTATCAGCAATGGTCTTGTTTCGCCCGTCGCCAGTCCGGCTACTCCACGGCACCAGATGTCTGCTGCATGAGAACCCGCTGGTGAGCTTCGAACCATCCAACCGTCCAGCCTTCACCTCGCCGTAATAGCGCAACTGACCTCAATCTTCAAGGGACTCCCCCGGTCCGGAACGCCACCCAACTGGCCGAGGAAACCCCAGCGCCGCAGAATCACGGGCGTTGAAAAGGTCATTGCCGTGTCCTCGGCAAAGGGAGGCGTGGGCAAGAGCACCGTCGCGGCCAATCTCTCCCTGGCGTTTGCCCGGCTAGGTCTACGTTCTGGGATCTTGGACACGGATATCTTTGGACCGTCTATACCTACTCTGTTCGATCTGTCGGGCGAGCCGAGGTTATCCGATAGTAAGCGTCTCATCCCTCCTCTTTGCTTCATTGGATCTCTGACGGAGTGAGAAAAGACAACCAGCTCGTCCCCCTGACCAACTATGGAGTGAAGACAATGTCCATGGGGTATCTTGTTGGGGAAAATGCCCCCGTCGTGTGGCGGGGTCCCATGGTCATGAAGGCCATCCAGCAGCTGCTTCACGAAGTAGACTGGGGTGGTCTGGACGTTCTCGTGCTTGATCTACCGCCCGGCACGGGAGACACCCAGCTCACCATCACCCAGCAAGTGATCCTGGACGGTACGATTCTGTCCACCTTGTCTATATCCCTCTTCACACGTCTGCCGCCTGCTCGGAATCCATCAGCGTCTGATTGCCCACTCCTTACTGACGGTTATAGGTTCCGTCATCATCACCACACCACACACCCTCGCCACAAAGGACGCCGTCAAGGGCATCAACATGTTCAAGACCGTCAACGTTGACATCCTAGGCCTGGTGCACAACATGTCCCTGTTCAGGTGTCCGCACTGCGAGGGCGAGACGCACGTCTTTGGGTCGACCGACAGGGTCGACCGGTTATGCAGCGAGCACGGCATCGATTACCTGGGTGATATCCCCCTGCACCCCAACATCGGCGACGACGCCGAGAGGGGCAAACCCACGGTTGTTGCGGAGCCGGATAGCGATCGGTCGGCTGCCTTTTCAGTTATCGCACAGGGCATTTTAACCAAGATTGGCCTGGAAAAGGAAAAGCAAACGACTTGAATAGTGTAATATATGGATTTCATCAGACTACACACTATTCACCATCCACCCCTCAAAACTCGCGCCGTCCACGGACAGTTCCAGCACAATGCAAAAGGTCGGAGAATATTCCGCTATTGCCGGCCTCGGGCCGGGATGCCGCCCAATAGCAATGAGGAAACTCGTGTTGCGTGGTTTCTCCTATGTTGGAAAATGGCAGACCCAAAGTAGAAAAAAAACGTTAGTGCCTGCGCATTTGATCTTCAGGTGATTTACCGTTGAAGATTCCAGTCTCGAAAGAAAGAAGTCCCGGCTCAGATTGCCAGAAGGCAGCGAAAACACCCCGTTGGCAAGTGGAAAGGCTGGAAAGGTCAAGGTGTGAAAGATAATAGAGAAGGAGGTGTCGATTCCTATCGTCGAGCGTATAAATTAGTCCTGGTCATCGTTCATCTGGTAAACATGACGGCTGCGAGTTGGGTCTTTGCGCATAGATTTGCCAGATCCCGTGAAGCCAACTGGATGGTCAAAAGTAAGTGGTGGGCACCTTCAAGATTGGCGGGAGGTGAAGCAGATAAACATACCTCTACCGTTTACACCCTCAGGAGTGCGAAACATGCTGTCCTTCTTCGACTTGCCAAACTTGGACTTGGAGTTGAACTCTTGCCACTTGTTCTTGCCGGCCTCGAGCTCCTTCTTGGCCTTGATCTTCTTCGCCTTGGGGGGTTTAGGCGCATCGCTGCCAGCTGAGGCATCGTCCTTCTTCGCGGCCTCGGGGTAGATGGTTGCACCAGCTGAGGACACGACGCCGGGTGCATTCGACGCCGGCGCGGCTGCGGCCACCACTGGCACGGGTGCTGCTGCCGCCGGGGAAGGGCCGTCGGCTTTCCTCTTGTTGGAGACGGGCCGAATGTCTCTCGATCGAAGGGTCTCTGTATTGTCGTAGCTCTTGAACTTGACAGTGTAGATAGGGGCTGTGGACGACCCCGTTATCGATGTGATGCGGGCAGGGTAGAAGGCCTTGTCGCCAGACAGCCACTTGGCCATGACCGTGTCGTTGACCTTGTAGTTGGCCGGTGCTTCGTCGTCATCCTCTCCCACCGGATCGTGGCTCTTCTTGAAAGCGGCCGTGTGCTCTGAGGAAGGCGGCGGCGGCGGCGGCGTCGGGGAGGCAGGCTGCTGTTGCTTGGCAGGTGACTGCTTTGGGGCAGCGGGCTGCTGGGGCTTCAGCTCAGCAATGTTTTCATTGAGGAGTTTGATGAAGTTGTTCAACTCGTCTTGTAGTGCTGATAGTTCGACGTTGTCGGGATCATCGCGAAGTTGGCCGGCGACAATGTCGAGCTGCGATGGGAGAGGTAAGTCAGTGGCAGGCCTATATAACGGCCGTTGGGGAGCGGATGGGCATACCTGTTCCTGATATAGCTGCTTCTCTTCTTCTAGGCTAGCGAGAGACATTTTTCCGACTATGCGATATATATCCGAACGGGTGAAAGGTAAGAGAAGAGAAAAGACCAGTCGGTAACCGCGGTCGAGTGTTCGTGAGATGGGGTGTTTGCTGTTGTTCAAGTGCAGAACGATACAGTAGCGGCGGTAACAATGAGTAACAATGAGGTCAGACGCCATCTCCGGATTCGAGCTAGGTCACGTGGATTGATACTAAGATAAGATGGTAGGGTCAGACGTGATGGATGGTCTATCAGTGGCCCTTGGCGTCGCATGTCGTGCATGGATTTTTGAAGGTTTTTTTTTTTTTTGCAGAATGTATAATGACAAATAATCAATGACGCCTGCATGATCTGTCTGGTGGTTCTGTCCATCATTGGATGTATGGAGGTTTTATCGTGAAGGGTTGGACGTGTAAGATGGACGACGATGACGGTCTCCATGACTGGATGCTGTTGGTGTCTGCACCGCAGCCTGGGTCTCGGACAGCCCGTGTCCTGCAGCACACAGGCTGTAGACAGGGCCTCTCCTGCGAATCATACCTGTACAGCGCCCGTACAGCGCCCGGCCATTACCACGGACGGACTCAACTGGTCGTACTCGTAGTGGGAATCCCATCGACTTATAGGTGCCAAGTATGCCAAGTATGGAAGCGTCAGTGACCTAGAGGGTCATTCCTCAGTGAGGGGTCCCCCTAATCTGCTGCCTAGAGCACTCTCCAGGTCCCGCTACTCTTCTATAACCACGGAGTGAGCCACGGATGGACGCTCAATTATCGAGGACCCCCAAAAACCTCCAGCCCATTCACCCGCTCGGCCGCCCACCATCAAAGTCGCCTTCAACCACCACCGACCACCAACCACCGCATAACTTAGTATCGTCACCTCGTATTGGCCACCCCCCGATCTCGATGCGTTGTCGCATGTCTATTTCGTAATACCCCGATCATTGGGACGTCTCTCCTGCAGGCCCGCCGCCGGCCTCGTCGCCAATTGTTGAGCTGGATCTACGCCCTATCCCTCTATTTCTGGAGGTGCCTCACTTTATCCCATTGTTCCGGGTACGGTCACGACCGCCAGCTCCTCTTTTTTTGCTTCCTAATTTTTTTTCCCCCATCTCGTCAGACTGGCAGCAATACATTTTGAGCTACCGGCAGCTTCTAGTGTTTTCTCTTGTTCTTCCCAAGTTTTCTCAGCTTCCCCCGACATCACAACCACCATATTTTGTTCTCCCTCCCGGACCTCACAACAACTTCACCGCTGCTGCCTGCTGTTCTCTCCCATTTTAGCCGGCATCTACAGTCATCAATCATGCCGCGCGACTCCGACAGTACGTCGTCGGCGGGCGGCCAATCAAAACGGCCGCCCCTATACCGGCATCAGAGCGACAGTGTGAGCGAGCATAACCTGCGTCATAAACAGGTCCAAAAGCAGCATCACGTCGGCCGTGTACACAGTCGGGTCCCATCGTCCAAGGCCTTGGTGCAGAGATCGAACCACTCCCAACTTTATACCAACACCACCCTCAATAGTGGCCGTCGGCCAGGCGTCACCTCACCCACCGAGCAGGCGCCCTCGTCATCCCACCGCCGCTCCATCAGCGAGGTCAAGCTGCAGCGTGAGGGCGGCTCGCCCACATCCTTCTTGAGCAAGAACGCGGCCTCGCAGTCCAACCTCAAACGCAACCGTTCGTACGGCGATGTCCAGCGACGCCCCAAGTCATCGTCTGACAAGTTGAAGCGCAACTCGAGCGGACTCAGCACCGCGCGCACCCGCGGAACGACCAAGTCGCAGGTCCATTTTGATCTCGGCAGTGACGACCTGGACGGGCCCGACGACGAAGGCGACTGGGTCGATGCCAGCGCCTCCAACTCGCCTCACCTGTCTCGCAAAGGCTCCGTAAATGGTAGCGGCCAGTCGTCCCTCATCCGACCACCACTAGGCGCTCCTGGCTCTCGACCCGACACGCCGGTCGATCAGAAGCAGGAACAGCAGCCACAGCAGCAGCCACAACAGCAGCAGCAGCAGCAGCAGCAACAGCAACAACAGCAGCAAGTCTCTACTCCGGACCTCGAGCGCACCAACCACCAGCAGTATCTCACATCGCGCCTGCTGCAGCGTACACCCTCACAGGGCGCCCCGCCCAAGATGGCCTCCGAGCTGGCCCAAGCCGGGAATAGCAAACCGCCCATGATCCATTCCCCGGACCCGCAGCCGTCACCATCCACAACCCTGGCCGACGGCAGTAGCGAGGGGGTAACATCCCGCTTCGTCGACAATCCTGTGGTATCTGGCGTGACGAGTAACGGATCCTTCTACCACGCGCCCACGTCGTCTGGTGACACGGCCGCGCCCCCACTCGTAGATGAACTCACCCGGCGGGCCAAGTCGACGGCCAACCTGTCTCACTCGCACAGTGAGGTGACAGAGAAGCTCCAGCAGCAGCGTCCGCTTTTCAGCGACGACAGTGATATCAGCGCTCTCGTCCCCAAGCCTGCACGGCGTCGCGCCGCACCCCCAGCCGAGACATCCCGCATCCAGCAGAAGCTCAACCTTCAACGCGCCAGCTCAGCCATGGAGCCCGGTACCAGCGGCCCCGTTAGCAGCGGCATGCCCATACCGCTCATCGGCGCAGCTGGCCCGGGGTACGACGGCGGGGGTGCCGGCCGCGACCCTCGCGTCGGCAAGCTCCTCGAGTCAACGGGGATGGAATACCTCGTCGTACGTCGCCACCAGAACCCGGTTGCCCGGTCTCTCAGCAGGCTGCGCCGCCTCCCCGATGCCGACAAGGCGCTCTTCGTGGCTCCCCACCGCGCCGCTTCCTCCACATCCGCCAGGCGACCCACCTTTGATCTGCGGCACACCCGCACACCCAGCGAGGTTACCGCCACGAGTCGACCCACTACACCGAAGATGCGTAGTGGCAATTCATCCACCACGGCTATCGAGGGTATGCCTGAAAAAGAGGGCAGGCTTAGTGACCGTCTCAGCGGGTCAAGCCTGGTGGGAAGCTGGGATGATGACGGAACAGCCGCCCTGCTGCGGAATCTGTGGGAGAAGTCGATGGACCTGAGTGGTAGTGGGGAATAGCGGTCTACGTAACTCTGTATGTTTCCCCCTTTTTTCTTCTCATCTCTCTTCTCATCTGGGTTTGGTTGTCTACATAGTACTCTTCTTCAACAGCGGCATGTGTGATTTCTTTTGGTCCTGCTATGATCATATATACTTATTACTACAGACATTTTCAGCAGAGGTCTGTCTGATGGCTAGGATGAGAATAAACAGATAATTTTATATTTACTCCGATAAAGAGCGGGATGGAATGAGTAGTAGAATACCCGTGTGCCCTAACCCCTCCGACCTTGAAATAAGTAAAAGAGATCTAGCATGTTGCCTCTATCATACATGAATTAAACATTTGGAGCAAGTAAATCATATTTTACACATCGTTCGACCTGGCAGTCCGGTTGGTCAGCATTGTGCAAACAGGGAAAGGGAGAGGGGAAAGGGGAGATAGCTCACATCTTCTATACTGGCCTGCATGAAGCGTCTGGCCTCCAGGCCGACCCAGACCAAGACCATGGAAAAGTCACCGTGCTTGGCCATCTCCGCGCCGCTCTGGGAGCTCAGCTGGCGCAGGATGGGGAGCGAGCTGCTGAGAAGGTCGACGTTTGGGTTGAGGCTGCGGCCGATGCCTTCCAGCAGCAGTATACTGATGACGACGTTGACAAAGTCGCCCTCGACACGGACGTGATGGGTGCGCACCATGGAGAGGACCTGCTGGAGGATGTCGCCTATGCGGACGTTGCCCAAGGCCAGGGTGTTGCTCTTGACGCCGAGTACGAGGTGCTGCATCTTGAGGGCGAAGACCTCCTGGTCGATGACGGCGTCCGGCTGGCGGCAGCGCTCGCACATGAGGTGGCCGGCCTTGTAGCCGTTGAACTCGGCCACGGCGCGGAACAGGTCGAGGAAGTTGTCGCGGTTGGAGGAGTTGAGCTCCGTGACGAGTCCGGTGTCTATGAAGACGAGCTGCGGGCGGTAGCCCTCGGCATCCATGCGGGCGAGTTCAGCGTCCCAGCCCGCCCGGTCGCCGGCCTTCTTATAGGGGCGCAGACGGTGGAGCATCTGCTCGGTGACGTCGGGTACGGCTGTGTCGCTGCCAGGTTTCTGATTCCCGGTCGGAAGGGGGTAGCGGATGTTGAGGTCCGGCTTGGCAGCCTTGTAGAAGCGCACCATGATGTTGCCAGGGTGCAGGTCGGCGTGGACAAAGTTGTCGAGGAGTAGCATGCGCAGGAACGCGTCCAGCCCCTCGTCGGCAATATCGTGTTGGAACACGCCGCCGCCGAACTCCATAAAGTCTGAGATCGGGATGCCCTGCGCAAACTCCTCGACCAGTACGTTACGTGTGGTGAAGTCGGTGTACGGGTAGGGGAAGGAGGCAGTCGTGCGGTCCTGGAAGTTGCGCCGGAAGCGGACAAGGTTAGCCGCCTCGATACGCAGGTCCAGCTGCAGGCGCATCATCTCGCCGAACTGGGCGACCTCGTCGGGCAGGGAGAGCCACTCTATCGTCGGGATGGCGTTGAGCACCGACGCGAAGAAGCCCATGATGCGCAGGTCGCGTCCGACGGTGCGGTCGACGTTGGGGTGCAACACCTTGATGGCCACGTATGACGACGGCACGCGCGCGGGCGAGCTCTTGAGGACCATTTCCACGTTGCGCCGCACCTTGGGCAGCGTCGTCCTGGGCGGGTACGCGGGGAGATCGGAATCGATGGGATCGGCCAGGTTGGGTTTCAGCTTGGCCTTGTAGACCTGGGCTATGGCCCCGACGCCCAGCGGCTTCTCGTCGAACTCGTCAAAGATGTCGTCAAAGGCGATTCCGCCAAACGCGTCCTCGATAATCTGCCGCGTCGCGAGCATCGAGTGTCCATGCGAGTTGGAGTGCAGCTTCGACATGATGTCACACATCTCGCTGGGGAAGATGTCGGATCGCGACGCCGCCCACTGGCCCAACTTGACGAATGTCGGCCCCGCCAGCTCCATCGACTGCACCAGGAAGCCGTACCACCAGAGGCTTCCCGTCCGCTCATTATCCCGTCTTGGCTGCCGTCTGCCTATCCATAGCGCCGGCACTGCCACAATCACGGGCACGAATATGACCGCCAACTGAAGGAAGCGCAAGCCCGTGCACAATGGCTCCCACACGTACACGTCCACAAGATAGACCAGTTTCTGCAATGGCCCGGACTCGCCATTCTTCTTCAATTGCACGTGCTTCTGTATCTCTTTCCGTGACGCCTCGAGCATGCGCCGCTCACTCGTCGTCTCCTGTGAGTGCTCCTTGCTGCCGGAATCCTCCCGTGATAGCTGAAGGAACGTCCCAGCTCCCAGAACTGCGGCTCCGCCAGCAGATGCATGCATTAGGATGCGCCGTCCTGTGCGCGAGCTAGCATGACGCACCCACGTCTGATTAGGAGACCTGCTGGCCGTTTCCGAGAAGAAATTACGAGAGCCGACCAAGCTCGGTGAGCTATTGGTGCTGCTGCGACTGCTGTTCTCTTGACGCCGGAAAGCCTGGCGGGCACAGGACCTGCACAGGTGAAGCCAGTTGCTCCGCATATGGCCGGGGAGAGAAGGGAAAGACATCTATAGGAGATGAGAGTGTTTCATGCTGCAAAGCGAATCATCAATAGACGATATGCAATGATATATGTGTGTGATAGAGCGGCGACGCATTGGACGTAAGCGGCGTCGTTGTAGTGTCCGTCAAAGTGACGTATTCGAGTCGGAGCTATCTCGGAAAAACATGTGACTCCATTCGGCGATAATTTCTACCCAACGGCGCGGATGCCGTTGCTAATTTTTTGTCTCCCATTTAGTTCGCCCCTCTACTCAACCCCCTGTCAAAACACACACATTGCTTATACAGCATTGTTTCTTCTTCGACTTCGACTTTCATTACCCTCTTAACTCTTCGCATCATCACCGCACTCACCAAAAATCATCATGGGTTGGTTTTGGGCTGATACTGCTCCTGCCGTGCCGCAGATGCCCATGGGTCATCCACCTGCGACATCTGGTGAACCTCCTGTACGTTGGAAGAGAAAAGGCTGAAGAGACAAGCACGTGGCTGTATCACTGACGGTTTGCCCATCCAGAGCGCATGCCCCATGCACAAGAAAACGGCCGATGCATTCAAGGTCGAACCCAAGGTCGAACCGAAGCCGTCCGGTGGCTGCCCTGTTCCTCATGGGGAGGGGAAGCATGACGTGCCCGCGTCTGGTGGCTGTCCCGTCCCCCACGACAAGAGGGACGCCATGGCTGCCGCGAAACCCGCACCGTCGGGGGGATGCCCCGTCCCTCACGCCAAGAAGGAGGAGGAGAAGCCCAAGTCGATGCTATCGCAGTTGAACCCCCTCAACTACATGTTCCGCGACCTATCGCAGAAACCCGCCGAGAACCAGGAATTCGCGCTACCAACGGAGCGCGAGGAGTCAACCATTCCCAAGGGCGAGGGCCAGGGCACGTGGGAGTACCCGTCGCCTCAGCAAATGTACAACGCCCTTCTGCGCAAGGGATACGCCGACACGGACATCACGGCCGTCGAGTCCATGGTTTCGGTGCACAACTTCCTCAATGAGGGCGCCTGGGCCGAGATCCTGGGCTGGGAGCAGCGCTTCGCCCGCGGGCTGTACAAGGGCTGGGAGCTCTGCAGGCGCGGCGAGGAGCATGCCGATGAAGAGCTCGAGCGCCGCTGGGAGGAGCTGGAGCCCACCACGCCCAGCCTCATCCGCTTCCAAGGCCGTCCAAAGGACCTCACACCCAAGGCTACCATGCTCCAGGTCCTGGGGTGGATTTACCCTTCCAGGTTTGGGTGAGTTACCACCGATCACGGGAGTGCCCAAAGCTGCGCGGGATAAAGAAGTAAGCTGACGGCATGTACAGCACCGACCTGCCCTTTGACCGACACGACTGGTTCGTCTCGCGTACGGTCAACGGCAAGCAGAAGGAGATTCGCTACGTCATTGACTACTATGAGGGAGAGCCTGAGCCCACCGGCGAGCCCGTCTTCTACCTCGACGTGCGGCCTGCTGCCACTCCCCTGGGTGCTGCCGAGCGAATCATCCGCTGGAGCACTGACGTCTGGTGGAAGGCCAGTGGTGGTGATGTCCGGGAGCAGATCCCTCGGTCTTTTCCCAAGTCATCATGATGTCAGCTACGGGACTTGAGGCGTAGCTGGGTTGTGTGATCTTTGTGTGTGTTAAAAATGTACCAGTATCAGATGTAGAATCGGTTGTTTGGATTATGTATAAGTAGGAGAGCGTCCTTTATTGTTAGAACATGTACTTGGGTGGAATACACAGCCACCATGCCTTCCATAATGAACACGTATCGAGAATGATCGTCTCCATCTTCATTCACTATTGTTGACCGTCCACACCTATCATCAGCCCATTCATTATACGGGAAATCGTCATGATGGCGCCTTTTTGGCTCCTTTGTTTATCGTAGCCCAGGGAAGGAAGCCCCGTGGTCGTTGGACGAAAAAGGCAAGAGCCCCACGTAGTCATATAGGCCCACTTTTTTATCTTCTCGTCTTGATCTACAGCCATGCTACTTTTTTTTCTTCTCCCTCCATAAAAACACGACAACAAAGAAGAATATTTTTACAAGACCGCTATTTACATACGTCCACCCGGACCTGGGAGCCACTCTCTCGCCTACCTCACTCTCTGTGTGTACACGAGAAAGAGATGCGCTGCACAGCTGAAGAGCAACAGCAGGCCGGTATATCCTCCTCTGGCAGCGACTTCACGAGACTGCACATTACCCCCCTGGACCCGGAGCTTCTCAAGATCATTGTACCGGCGTCTTCGCTCCCCAAGGCCCAGAACATCTCATTCCATACCATACCGACCTTTTCCGAGAACCGATACGGCTACGTCGACCTACCGCACGCCGACGCCGAAAAGATCAAGGCCAAGCTTAACGGAGCCGTGCTTCGGGGCACCAAGATTCGCATTGACAAAGCCCGGCCGGAGAAGAGGACGGTAGGCCCGCCAGACACGATGGGTGGTGAGACAAAGAAATCGAAAAAGTCGTCGTCGGTGGACGCCTCGTCGGCCAAGAAGCGCAAGCGCGACGAGAAGGATAAGGTGATCGCGGCTGTGGCTCTGACAGATCGCAAAGTCAAGCGCGGATGGACCGAGACGCCAGCCGAGTCGGCCAAGCGCACGAAGAAAGAGAGGTCGGACAAGAGCAACAAGAGGAATAGCAAGAGCAAAGAGGACGGTGGTGGGGAAGAGGCAGCGGAAAAGGAAAGTGAAAAGGAGAAGAAGAAGAGGGAGAAGAAGGAGGAGAAGAGGCGGACAAAGAGCAAGTATACCGAGCAGGCAGAGTGCCTCCTCAAGACCAAGATTCCGGCCAACGCTACGAAAAACCTGCCCAACAGCGACGACCCCGACAAGAAGAAGAGGAGGAGCAGCAAACCAGGGACTGCCCGGGAGGAGATCATCCACGAGTTCGAGAGGACAACCAAATTCCCCAGCTTCCTCAAGGATTCGACTGGCCCTACATCTGCGCACCCTGCTGCAGCGGAATTCGTCGAGGGCAAAGGGTGGGTCGACGAGGATGGAAATGTGGTCGAGGCCGCGCCTATCAACAAGAGACCCATCACGCCCGCCAAGAAGAAGAAGAAGGCTGCGCCTCCTCCCAAGCCTGTTGTCGGGGAAGACAGTGATGACGACGACGACACCAGCAGCAGCGGCACCTCGTCGTCTGGTTCGGACAGCGAAAGCGACTCGGGCGATGAAGACGAGGAAGAGGAGTTCGTCAAGGGACAGCAAGCAACACCCTCCCTCAAGAAGACGACGGCTGCGAAACCCTCCCCCTCTCCAAACCTCAAGCTCGACATCCCTCCCAAGACACCCGCCAAGGATGCCAGCAAGGGGAAGGATAAGGAAGCAAGCAAGGGAGAAGTGCACCCCCTAGAGGCTCTGTACAAGCGCAAGAAGCCCGTGGAAGGCGACGCCGCCACCGTGGAGGAGACCCCCGGCCAATCTCAGCCGTTTACCTTCTTCGGCGGAGACGACATGGACGAGGATGGAGAAGACGGGGGCGACGCGGAAGCCGGGGCCGGCAAAGAGTCCAGGGATGCGTCCATGCCCATTCCCATGACCCCGTTTACGCGCCAGGACTTTGAGTCGAGAATCATGAGGAGTGCTGCCCCCACACCCGATACGGCCCACCCCGAACGCATGAATAGCATCCCATGGCACCTTGAAGACGACGAGGATGAAGACGGCGACGACGACGACAACGAGGAAGAGGGTGGTGACGGTACCGCCCACGGATCAACTGAATTCCAGACATGGTTCTGGAAGAATAGGCGGGATCTCAACCAGTCGTGGATGAGACGCAAGAAGACAGCTGCGAAGGAGAAGAGACATAAGGAGAATAAGGCTCGCGCGTCCAAGGCTGTATAGACTATTTTTTTTTTTTTTTTTTTTTTTACTTTTGCTCTTTCTCCTTTATCTTTTATGATTCTGATCGCCGCAGCAGCATGGATATATATATAATTACCTCTAAGATGCATTACCTGATGACCACTTTTCTACCACACACAAGATTATGTGATTCTGTGCAATCTGGTCGTCGACTGAGAGTGAGACCCATATAATCTTTGCTAGTGGCGCATTCTGTCACCAATCGGGCGTATGGTCTAGGGGTATGATTCTCCCTTCGCATGTATGCGACTACTGGGAGAGGTCCAGGGTTCAATTCCCTGTGCGTCCAGAAGTCTTCTTTTTTGTATCCTTTTTTCAGTTCTTTTTGTCACGGCATCAAACACACTCTGTCACCATCCAGCTCTCAACGCTTGATCTTTTTTTCTTCTTCTCTCTCGCCTTTCATCTGACATCCTCATTGCTGTCTCTGCTTTGGTATTTCGACGAGACATGCATGCTACATCGTACGAGGACTGTCCTGTATGGTTGGATCGGTACCTGCCAAAAACAAAAAGAATGTCTCAGGTACCTCAACGGCGGTGCGCGTACGTACGAGTGTAAGTGGGACATCCACGGATCGATACATACGATAGATAATACATCAAGACATGCAGTCATTTCATTTACATTCACCCGTCCAGATTATATCCCCACTTCAATCTAGCTTGGCAACGTAACGTAGTGTTTTTTCTTTTTCAAAGTAAATATAATCATGAACATGTGTGTGTAATCATAAGGAGTAAGCCATAAGGTCGTTAGAAAAGGTATCCTATATCAACATGAGGGTTACTTGATTGTCAAGTACCAAATGTCCACGTCTCATCAATCGCCATTGTCTGATGGCCATGGCTCTCAGATGGCAAGGCGAACAAGGCTGTTCCATCTCTCAAAATCGTGCATCTCCGTCGTGGTATCCGACCTGTCATTTCTGTTTACCGCGAGAATATCTGTAAAATGACATGCAACTAGCCGGCACGTCTTGGCCGGTCAAATCGGAGAGGCCTCTCCGGATGCACTTGGCTGTTGAAGAAGGTGCTGGTCGACTCCGGAAGCGGCGCCTCTACCATGCCTGGCATGCGCTTCCACTTTCCTGGAGAAGCTGCCGTGGGTTGATGTGATGGTGTGTACCGTCCATTTCTCTCTCTCTCTCTCTCTCCCCCCTCCCCCCCACCAATCGGTTGCCCTTCACAGTGTGGAGATTCAGCGCCGATGAGCAGGTAAGAGGGGGGAGATATAGAAGGGTAGGGATGTGAGCCCAGACGAGAGGATCAGGGAATCATGCAGCCCCTGCGGCTCGTGGCCTCGAGGTAGAGACGCTTCTTCTCCTCCAGAGGCAGGACTGGCGAGGGCATGACGCCCCTGTACGATGCCGAGTAGTAGCGGGGATACGACGAGTAGCCGTAGTCGTAAGAGGCGGCCTTGGACCGGACGCGGCGGATCATGCTCTGGATGGAGATTCCGATGATGAGGATGACTTCGAGACCGATGATGAGGAACCAGATGGTGTTGAGGATCTCCTCCTCCGTGAACGGGATGGTGATGGACTTCATCATGTTCTGCTTCGCCTTGCTCTGTTCGGCCCTGGCTCGAGATTGCTGGCGATAGTACTGCAGAACTGAGCGGATGCCTGATGATCGGGTGTCAATATTTCCCTGGCCTCCGGTTATCGGAACCAGCTGGCAACTCACTGTTTTCACTTTGCCTGGCTATGCCAAGTTGAGGACGGAGAAGAAAAGAGGGTCACTATATAAGTTGAGAGACTTGGGGACAGAAGCAGAGAGAGATTGAGTCACGGAGACGAGGCACAGGTAGATGGGAAGAGTGAGAATGAAGGTGAAGGAGTTGGTCCCGACCTCTTGCGGTCAGTTAGGAAACCTCGCATGCCTTTTAAGAAGAAGAAGATGTGAACCTCGCGCCGATTTCTCTCCTCCTCCCCTCCCTAACTAACCCCTGTACGGTAGACGATAGATCAGGGTTGTTAGTCGGTGGAGATTTCGAATGCAAAGCCCGGGGGCTGGGCAGCGAAGCGAAGCGGTGTCCAGGGATTTGCACGCGTGTGTGAGATTTTTTTCCCCTCCCTTCCCTGTCTCTCCGTCTCTCTCTCTTGGGAAATGCTGACCTTTATTCATTCATGACGGCCATGTTGAAGAATGGGGAAATTAGCCGTGGCATATGCGGTGTAAAAATCATGCAAGACTATGCCTCTAATATCAATCACGTACATACGGATATACCTGCTCGTCTACCATACCCTCTTGTTCCCCTCTTATCATGCCGACTCTATAACACCGCTCTTATGGAGAGTTAGGCACGTATCACTCATAGAAACAAAGACGAGAAACTTTTTTTTTTTTTGCCATAGACACGCCATAATAATACGGTGCAGCTCGAAAAGATCGGTCAAGGCAGGTTTGCATACCAAGGTGGATATGGGCCCCAGCAGACTAGATGGGGACCCCTGCTCGAGAATTGACAACGGATTGGAGCCAACGTATGTTTTTTTTTTTTTTCCTGTCCTTCCCTTCAGTTCGGGACATCACAAGACTTGCCGACGATGAGGGGGAGTGCAGTTGCGCACGATATAAGTCGTTGTGGCGTCATGTATGATGTTGAAGATATAAAACAATGAACCAGGTGGTTCGTCTTGCCACATCCGCGTGCCCGCTACTTTATGCAGTGAAAATTCGTAACCCTAACCCTTGTACAGATTGTACACCGACCAACCTGACTTTTGCTCATGGCCAACTTCTTCTAGCAATATACGGAGTCATCTTGTAGAGCTCGTGCCTACGATGTGATGCATTCTGCCGACGACGCGGGCCGTCATGAGAGAAGAGGAAGAAGAAGAAGAAAAAGGTAGTCGTACCGCTTGGTCCCACGGCGGATACCTTGACGACCGCTGCCGTACCGGATCCCTTCGTTTTGATTCACCCAAGTTTAAACGGAAGCAAAGACCCGGTAACACAAGTGAGGATGATGATCCGTAGCGTCCCGGCCCGTTCCCGGGTCGAAATCCTCCTGCAACTGCTCGAGCGGCCCGCTTCTCCTCCCCGCCTAGTCGGGCACTCGTCATCACTCCGTCCTCTCTGTGGTCGTACATCGTACAAGACAATTACTGATATCACTGACGGAGAGCCACCCCATCAACATGTCAGGGCGGTAAGGAAAGGCGCAGCACATCTCCCTTCCTTACTTCCCAGCTGTGAGCGTCTTCCCCGACATGGCGTCCGATGAAGTTGACGGACTGGTCGAGAGGTCTATCGAACAGGAAAGACAGAGGCACGCGCGGTTCTTTCTGTCTGGTGCAAGATGAGGCGGGCGATCCCACATTTGTGTCATGATCTGACTGAACAGCCGGTCAAGGTCAAGCATGTGGCATCGCAACTCTGAGCGCTTCATCCCAAACTAATATGTGACTGGGACTTTTATTCGTCGTGGGTTCCTTGGATATAACCATGTACATGACGAGAGCAGGTGCGGACAGTTCATCTTATCGGCCTCGTAGAGGATCGCTTCTGAGAAGGAGTCGAGCTGCATGTAGACAGACACATTGTCTTGTACACGACTTTTTGGTGCTCGATACACTTTTCCATGATGACAATCACGCCTACAAGCTTCCGTCTACTCCGTCTGTCTGTCCGTGACAGTTTGTGATATCACCGCACCGGCTCAGCGGATAGTTTGACAAGGCAAGCTCGATCATCACTCGAGCGACGACGTGACCTACACGCAAGGTATCCCTAGACTGCAGCGGCGAGACAACCTGAGAATGCTTCGGCAGTGGAACTCTGCGGGACGATTAGGGGTTACTCTGGAGTATCGCCAGAGTACATGTACATACATGCTCGTAGACATGGAGCAGAGGTTCCGCGTGAAAAGGTGAGTCAGGCATGAGGGTTCCCAGTCGTAGCTGCCGGATTCCTCACCCACTCCTCACCCACTCCTCACCCACTCCTCACCCGCAATAGCACCTTCCAGAGAAAGCAGTGACGACAGAGCGAAGCCGGTATCGCGAGATCCGTGGGAGAAGAGAGGAATCACAAGGTTTCCTCCTCTTCCCCATTTGCGTGACCTCTGATCAACAGACTGTCCACGAGATTGGTGGGCACTGCATCGATACCTTTCACCTCAACTCGTCCTTTAGTCCACCTCGTACACCATATTTTATTCTGATGACTACACGTATTCATTCTCCTCGGCTCTTCCTTTCTCCTCCTCCTCCGAAGCGGTTGATTTCCATCCGTCGCTTCCTCAGCTTTACACCTTCCGGGGCCCGCGTTTTCAGGCACCATGAAATCCGCCGGGAGCCGGGACGACAAATCTCCAGCTAGTACCACCAAAATTACATCGGGCGAAGATTCTGGTGACCAGACACTCTAGTCGAGCTCCGTGGTCGATGTCGAGCTTGGTGGAAGGGATCAGAGCACCGCCAGAGTCGACAGGTGCCCCTTCACAGCCGAACCGGCTCCAAATCACGACGTTGCAACCCCTCGACGAGCCAGCGCCGCGTCAAATAGCCTTCTCCAGCGCGATGTCGAATCAGATACCTCACGTAGGGACACAGACGATGATACCACACCCCGGGGGTCCAGATTCCATGACACGTTCGACATGTGCGGGGGCCAGTATAGTCGGCACGCAAGCGTCCCCTCTGCCAGCGGGCGAGCAAAGGATGCCGGGTCCGGGGTGGACAGCCGGGCATCTTCGACCATCGGTGACCGAATACCACCTCTCAACGAGATGCTTCGGCCGCTGAGAGAAGATACAGACAGTCTATCGTCGAACCCCAGCATGTCTCAGCTCCATGACAGAGTGGGAACGCCAGACGTTGACGGCAGCCCCAGCCATCCAAGCTTTGGCGGTGCCAAGATAGAAGATTCCTTCCCGGAGGCGCTTCTCAATTTCTCCAACACTGCCAGCAGTTACTACATCGTCGAGGCCAAACCGGACCCGATGGGAGTCTACCTTCATCGACCCCCAGGTGGGATAGCACCGTACCAGATCGAACCGGTGTCGGTTGAATTGGCAGCATCGTCGGGGGGGCATCCTGCATACCTCGTCATGCAGGCGAGTGAAGAGATAGCAAGGACGGACGAACCGAGCAGCGTCGCCGGATGGGTCCCACGTAATCCTAACCGGACGGAGGGGTTTTCCTCGTCAGGACTCGGTACCCAACATCTAGGCAGAGAAGTCGGCAACTTGGACCCCACCAGTCACGGACGCCCTCACCGAGGGGCTGCGGATGGATTCCTGCGGATGGAGGACGGTACAAGGAACCGCGCCCATTCCGATAGCGGCCGCTTAGGGATCTCGCCAATGACCGAGAAAACGCTCCGCGGATCAGCGAGCTGCTCGTGGGCATTACTCGGGTCGCAGAGCCCCGGTGGCGACGGCCTGTCACTTGCTGTCGACTCGGAGAAGAAAAAGGCACTTGGGGATACGGTCTGCAGTAGGGACTGGGGTGATGAAGTCACATCCTTGAGAAAATACCCCCCCGCAAGATCCATCCTGCGGGAGACGTCGATATACGATCAAGGCGCCCTTGGAAAATCACCTCATCAAGCCTCCAAAGCGATCTCCTTCCCAAACCTGCGATCCGAGAACAGCGACGCGAGGCCGCGAAGCTTACACGATCAACCAGGATCTGGTGGTGAGGCCTGCGACCACAATCTCGGCCTCGGTACAGTCTGCAATCCGGGGAGTCTGTCGGTCCCCCGTACTGAACAGCCCCAGCAGGGCAGCCAGCCGTCTGCAAACGATGAGATCGTCAGCACCATTCGCAGGGCAGACGACGATGATACGATTTCACCTCAGACAGCTCCAGGAGACGCAGACACGGGTCGAGGGAGAAGACCAAGACCTTCCCTGCGAGGCCGCTGGAGCAACGTTTCGCTGAGGTCTGCCTGGAGGGGGAGGCGGATTCGCCGCAAGCCGTCTGTGAGGAACTTTGTAAGCAGGGTCCGACGAGACGTTGGCAAGATATTTCATCGGAGGAGTAATTCTTCGCCTGTTGCCTCATAGCACATGACGCATCTATTTCCTTTTCTCTGTCCTTCCTCTCTCTTTTTTCCCAGTCGTCTTCGAGAGTATCTGGGGGGGTTGGACGCGAAGCATTGAAGGTACCGTACCTATGAATACCCTAACGATCCCCTTGGCTTTGAAGCAAGGAGCTCCTACTTGTCCATACATGATACTGTATTGCGGACGAGTGGCACTGAAGGTTGTTGGAAAGGCCAGTGCAATACCAAGAATGAAGCGCCGCTCTTATTACGTGTACTACTACCTACCTAGAAAGAATCAAGGCTGTGGAGCGCCCAACGCCCGCTGTAACGACTGAGTCAAGTATAGAACAACGGGGGGGGGAGGGGACTGAATCGAGCCAATAAATCCGCGATGGCCGATGGCCTCCCCTCAGCTTTCTGTACGTGCAGGCCCGTGACATCACTGGTCCCCGCGGGTCCCTGCAGGTCTGGTGCTGGCCGCACTCTCGCCAACCTGCACCTCGCGCTCCGGCACACCGACGCCGACGGTGGACACGCTACGCGTAGCCGTGGACATCTCCCCCTCGCCAGCCCTAGAGGCCGGCTGAGCGGTTGGCGTTCCGTCCCTGGGCCCGGCGACGCTGGTTCCTCCGGACGCAGCGGCGGCGACGTTGACGCTGGCGGCCGTGCTGCTGCTCGCGCTCCTAGGGCGACGGCCACGGCTGGTGCTCCCGCGGCGCTCCTGGACGGTCCTCTCCAGCTCCCTGATGCGGCGCTTGAGGGCCTCATTCTCCTTCTTGGCGGCCTCGAGCTCGTTCCGGAACTGCACGGTCTCCTCGTAGCGGGCGGTGGCGGGCACGAGGCCGGGGCTCAGCTGGCCGCCACCGCTGGCCCCGACGTGGATATACGAGGAGGGTGGCATCCTCTGCTGCTGGGGGTAGCTGCCGCTCACGGAGGAGTCGGGGACGGAGCCGGGAGCGGGAGACTCGGCCCGGCTGCGGCGGGAGGCGGCGCTGCCCTGGCGGGACATGGGCGTCGGCTGCGCGGACCGTATCGGGTGGCGCGGGTCGGAGGCGGCGAACGCCTGGGATGTGGTGGACGAGTTGCGGCGGTGGCGGCGCGAGGTGGGGATGGTGAAGGCCGAGCCGGACAGGAGGGAGGACTCGTTGACGGCATCGTGCGTCGACGTCGTCGCCGTCGAGGTGGACGAGTGGTTCGACGCCACCGAGGCGTTGTGGGCCGCCCGCAGGAGGGAGAGATCCCGCGTCAGCCGGTTCACCTAGATGCGGATGCGGCGTCGTGTCAGTGTCAGCGTCGGAAGGGCGCTTCCGAGTAGGGGGGGGGGTCCGTGGGTGTGGCATGGCATCTCGCGTACAATTGCTTCTTGCTCCTTCTCGAGCTGGATGTGCAGTTCCGAGGCGGTGAGGGGACGCGGGTGCCGTAGAGGTCCCGGACCCGACTCGATGACTGAGTTTCCATCTCGAACCGAGGAGTGCTGGTGGTGGTGGTACGGCTGCTGATGCTGGGCTGATGTCGACGTCGTCGTCGTCGTCGCTGCCGCTGCCGCTGCTGCCGCCGTCGTGGATGACGATGAAGGTCTCGAGTTCACGGCATTCTGGTTCGACGGGAGGATATTCAGCGAAGGCGAAGACGGGCCAGACAGCGAAGGTGATGGTAGCTGCTGGGACGAGGAGTGACGACGGGTCGTGTCCAGGAGCCGTGGCGACGGGGGCACTGAGTTGAGGTCCGGCATTCTCGATGACGATGACGATGACGGTGAGGTGATTATGTATGGCGGCGGTGCAGGACGAGAGCTACTGGACAGCTGGAGTCGATTTCCACGGCAAAACAGAGAAAAAAGAGGGAAAAAAACTACACACTGCGCTGGAGAGAGAAGAGTGAGAGGATGGTGAAGAGAGGAAGAGGCAGTAGAGGAGGGGAAGAGAAGAGGGGTCCCTGGGAAATATGGTGAGACAGAACGGCCCGTCGAGGAGGTTGGTCGGTTCTTTGCACGCACGAAGTTGTCGGGGAAGGCTGCAGGGTATTTGGTATCTACCCAACAAGGGTCCTCGGCTGTTAAGCCTGGCTAACACTAACACGGCAACGGATATATTGGGTGTCTCAAGGGACATGCATGCATGTACTCCGTACCCTTGTGCAGCTTATGTGCACCCTCCCTGCACAGCCAACTCTCTTCTGGGATTTGCTGCCACGATGCAGCTATGTATGCGCGGTGGTGTCGTATCTGTGCATGTGCGATGTACTCTACTCTCCGGTACCTGCTACACAACGAGCATGACCGGTGATTATATAGTCTCCGAGCCCTAAAAGACAAAAGACAGAGAAGAAGACACTCTGCCTGGCCTTGGAGTCTCTCGCCTTGCCTACCGACGTCAAGTATAGGGTACACAAACGACTGGGAGACAATTGGATGAGCTCGCTCGAGAAAGCACCCAGCTGCGCGTTCCGACCCCGTACATCATCTCATACAGGTAGGTAACATGTAGATGATATATGTCGATAGCCTGAGGCTACAGGCTACGCGACGCATCTAGACCTTGAGGGGTTCTCATATCTGAGATGCTGGGCTAGGCTGTCTAGATCATCATCAGTTTTCCCTGCACGAGCGCACCTTTGCGCTTCCCACAATATACAAATGATACGTCTCTCCATGCCTGGAAAGCTGAGGCAAAAAAAAAAGGTACTTATCCTTCCTGAAGGATGGACCGGTAAAGATGCAGCTTCTGCTTACCAGTCGTCACGTGTGAGTCGACTGCACACGCAATAGTGCGCGGGGGACCAGCCTCTCCTTCCATGACGACGAGGCGCGTATGCAGGCCGAATTCGATGAGCATGGCTTGAAACATCCGAGAAGCTCTTTGCCTCCTTCCTCCGTCCTTCACGGCTGAGGCGCCGCCCAACGTCCGACGCCCGCCTCGCGAATGCTCGACTGGCCGCAAGACAGATCCATCCAGTATGCGTACACTGATCCAGATCCACCAGACATGAGATCGACCGAGAGAAGATGACAGTGCTATCTCTCTATCTCTCTCTCGGCGACTCGTACCATGGATCTCCAGAACGGAAAGTGAATGAGGCATTTGCATCTTCATCAACAACGTCAACCGGCAAGATCGTGAACGGGCCGAGATCCCGACGCCTCGTCTCAGTATTAGTCTACAGATTACTATGAGGCAGAGCACTCTCCCACTCTGGTGGATGTAGGGTGGGGACTTCCGTCCGGCCTCCGGGAGCGTGCCGTGGATTCTCGATCCTATTGGCCGATGATCAGCTGCACTGATGAGAGGGGAGCGGGAGGCTTGCCTCTTCTTCTCCTACGAGTTCGGTTCATGCGGGTGATTCATGGCCGCCCTCGTCAGGGTCATGATCTATGGTCTGCGTCCCCTTCGGCGTTGCCGTGTAGCACATGTGCTTGGGCAGAATGGGGCGAACATGCATAGATTGTAGATAACGACCGTGAGCCGTATATGGTATCGTGTTGCTGTCACGACGTGCGACGTAACATGGAGTTCGAAGGCTATGAGTATTGCTATCAAACAGTGATATCTCGGTACCGGCCTTGCTGTTGGCCATGGCCCCTCTCGGAGAGAACCTGCCGATACGATTGCGACGAAGCAACATATGGGCTTTGCAAACAAGGAGTAGGCGTGATGCACGTGCTTCTGCCTCGATCTGATCTCGATCTGACCGTGACACACCATCACCGGGCACTCTAGGAGAGAGTTAAAGTGAGCACGTGGGCAGAACTCTGTCCAGTAGGGAGCGTCGTGTTTTCGATATTATGCCTCGATTCAAGCGCGAGAAGAGCATGATTTATACTTGGGGCAACAAAGTAGAAAGCAGAGAAACAAAAGGGACCTCGCTCCCATTCTTGGAGGTGGCTCCCGAGATGATGTGTGCCGAAGCTTTCCGTCCCACGTGTGACATGGCAAAGGCGCAATTGGGGGCTGTATCATTGATTCATCGACACGGAAGCCAAAAGTGGCAATACCTCACGCCTCTTAGGACGTGATGCCATGCTCTCTGGTCCTCCTTCTAGACCTACACACACACACACACACACACAACGACTGTAGTCGCATCATACCAAGCAATGAAGTGGAAAGAAACATCATCATGTAAGGCACTATAGCTTCAAGGGGCTCCCCCCCCCTTTTTCTTTTCCAATTTGCTTCGTATCAGGTACAGCCCTGGTATATGGCCAACCGTGTGATCGTGACATGATATAGGCGAGGCATTGAGATTTATCAAATGGCTGGAGTATAGCCTATACATTGAGTTTAAAGGGGCGTCCCATGTCGAAAGGAAATAAATACTCACAGATGAGCGCCGTGTCAGGTCCTACGCCCTCCTCTCTCCAGTGGCTCATACCCGGCCGGCTCTTATACATCACTATCTGACAAGCCGCCTCCCTCCCTCTCCCTCTTCTCCTCGACACTCTCCTACTACGTCTGCGAAAGGAAGGTGTCAAAGATGGTTCTCACAGATTACACCTACATCTTTGCCATCGGCACCATCTTTTCTCTCCTGGAGGCCTACAATAATGGAGCCAGTACGTGGCGCGCAAACTCCCCTCGAAACACACACACACATATACATACACACATACAGCCCTCCACCCGGCTGCTTGCCCATGCTGACAACTGATCAATAGATGATGTGGCCAACTCGTGGGCAACGAGCGTTTCCTCCCGGTCCATCTCGTACCGCTGGGCCATGATCCTCGGTACCGTCTTTGAGATGATCGGCGCCATCACGGTGGGTGCCAGGACGGCCTCGACCATCAAGAACGGCATCATCCCTATCGACGCGTTCCAGGGCAACGCGGCCGTGCAGCTGCTGGCCTTTGCCTGCGCGTCCGCTGGCGCCTCGACGTGGGCCATGTGGTGCACCCGGCACTCGGCCCACGTCTCGTCCACGTATTCGCTCATCTCGTCGCTGGCCGGCGTGGGCATCGCCGCCGTCGGGGCCGGCCAGGTCCAGTGGGGCTGGAATGGCGGTCAGGGGCTGGGGGCCATCTTCGCCGGGCTCGTCGTGGCGCCAGCCTGCGCCGCCGGGTTCGGGGCCGTCATCTTCTCCACCATCCGCCTGGTCGTGCACGTGCGCAGGGACCCCGTCGCCTGGGCCGTGTGGACGTCGCCCTTCTTCTTCCTCATCTCCGGCACCGTGTGCACCCTGTCCATCGTGTACAAGGGGTCCCCACGGCTCAGCCTCGCCGACGAGCCGGTCTGGTACATCGCCTCCGTGACGCTGGGCGCCGGCTTCGGCCTGTCCGCCCTGTCGGCCGTCTTCTTCGTGCCCTGGGCCCACGCCAAGGTCGTCAAGAGGGACCAGCGCCTCCGCGTCTGGGACCTGGTCCGAGGCCCGCTCCTGTGGAGGAGGCCCGCCGCCGAGGACTCCTCCGCCGAACCCAAGGTGCCCGACTACGCCGTCGTCCAGGACGACTCCGGCTCCGTCACCGCCGCCACCACCTCCGCCACCACCGGCGCCGGCACCTCCGAGGCCAAGGATGCCACCGTCGTCAACACCCCCATCGAGGCCTCCTGCACCGCAGACCCGGAGCGCCAGCAGCCCACCCAGGACGATTACAAGGACACGGTCAGGAGGGATCGGGAACGCTTCCACGTCAAGCTGCGCCGGCGCCGCGGCGCCCTGGGCTGGGCCATGCGCACGCTCCACGAGAACGCCATGGGCGCCGGATCCGTGTACGAGAGGCACAACGTCGTCGCCCTATTCAGGCGGCTGCCCGCCATGGCAGTCGCCGCCCTCCTGTACGGAATCAGCTACGACATCCACGCTGCCCAGACCGGCATCTCAGGCACCCCCGAGGGTCGCCGTATGGAGCGTGTCTACTCGTACGCCGAGAAGTACCCCAACCCGGTCGAGCACCTGTACTCGTTCGTGCAGGTCCTGACCGCCTGCACGGCCTCGTTCGCCCACGGCGCCAACGACGTGGGAAACGCCGTCGGTCCCTGGGCCGCCATGTATGCTACCTGGTCCACCTCGAGGCCGGCCGAGGAGGAGACACCCGTGCCCATCTGGCAGCTCGTCGTCATCTCCGGCACTCTGTCTATCGGTCTCGTCACCTACGGGTACAACATCATGAAGGGTGAGTGGCTCGCTGGCAGCCCGCTTGAGATGTAACCGCCATTTTGCCCAGGAAACAAGACCGATCGCTAACATGTCTGGCCCCGACAAGTCATGGGCAACAAGATCACCTACCACTCCCCCAGTCGCGGATCGTCCATGGAGCTCGGCGCCGCCATCACCGTCCTCGTCTTCTCCCAGCACAAGCTCCCCGTCTCGACCTCCATGTGCATCACCGGTGCCACCGTTGGCGTCGGCCTGTGCAACGGTACCTTGAAGGCTGTCAACTGGCAGAGGGTCCGTCTGCTCGTCTTTTCGTGGTTCATGACCATTCCCGTTGCTGGGTTGATCGGTGCATGTCTCATGGGCGTTATGCTCAACGCTCCTCACTTTTAACCCAAGACTTGCTGTTCGCGTGGCCTCGACTTTAGGTATTACCTCTCAGTACATCTGGTCTTTGAGAGCAAAAAGTCTGCAGTCGACTCCGTCATTCTTCTGCCCTGTCCTCTCTCCTTCTTTTCATTCTACTTGATAGGAACTGTACAGATTCTTTACGAAGTGGAAGTGGATCATCGGCAGCGGCGATGAGGTCACCTCTTCCTGTTCACCTTCATGATCCGCACCGCCATTCGAAAAGCAAGGGAGAGGATATATTAATGTCAGAACCCGCAGAGTTCGCTTGATGTTGAAAGGAAAGCTGTCATCAAAGATGAATGTGGTATTGAATCGTGACATCTGCTTCAGACCCGGTTGCCTGATAGTTACTTGTAATCAGCAGGTGAGGCGATGATATCACTCGCTTCGATTTCCAAGTAATACATGTCTCCACTTAAACCGTGGCCTGGACACAACAGAACGAAGCTTTGAGCTTGCCACTTTCAAGACAAGATACTAGCCACTTCCAACCAGTACATCATTATGATTGGGAAACGCCATGTATGGATATGGTGCTAACGGTATTCGTTCTAGGATGGGAGGGGGGAGGGGGGCGGGGGCTCGCAATCGTCATGGTCACCATTAGATCATCCAGGTCGTTGATGTAATTCCGATTCGACCCTCGTTGGGGTATAACATAATAACATGTCTCATCACATCATCGTACCCTGAGATGTCATATATAAACCTCTCCTCTCGTCTCTCCTGACCTCCCCAGACCTCATCCTCTCATCATATCTCATATATAGCAGCGAGCCACACCTCGGACAGCATAGACCAACACCTCGGACAGCATAGACCAACACCATGCCCAGAGACGCCGCCGAGTCACCGCCCCCCGAGCGCCAGACTGGCGCTCAGCAGCACGATCCAACGGGTCCCGGCACCACTCGACCTGACCTCCAGGACCCGGAGGGTAAGGCCAAAGAGCTCAAGGCTGAGATCGACGTGAGTGGCTTCCCCCCATCTCCTAAAACCAGCAGAGCGAGCGGTCTATTAACTGGCTACCGTGATAGAACCTCGAATCAAACCCCAAACAGGCCATGGCCGATGAGTTGCCAAAGAAGTTTAGCAAGGGAGTCGGAAACTGAACATTACACGGGACATGGGAGTATACTACTATGAATAAAGAAATGTATCAATGGCAATTGACACTAGCACAAACTTGCGGGTAATTTGGACGAACACGGTGCGCGAATCTTGACGGAAATGCAAGTAGAGGAAGTAGACAGCTAGGCCTTGGACACACCACAACGGTGTGAGCCATCTGTATGAAAGACTCATGTGTACGGAACAATATTCAGGCCGACACATAATGTCGCTCTTCGTTTTTAAATCTTTTTTTATTTCCTCAACATGCGCCGCATGACTAGCTAAAAAGGATTCATAAACTCAAGGGAATAAGAATGATAGAAACAGGAACGGAAAAGTAAAAACTGAAGGGTCCCTCCCAGTATCTTCCATCATTATCGTCTTACCAAGTATATAATTTCTCTAAGAAGCAGCAGGCTTTTCGGTAGAAGGGTCGACAACGGGAGGAGTAGCAGCTTCTCCAGTGGTGGAAGACGGCGCACCAGTGGCGGTACCGACAGCGGCAGGGGCACCGGCGGCCGCACCGGTCGATTTCTCATCGGTACCGGTCGAGTTACCGTCCTTGTCCTTACCGAGGAACCTCCCGAGGCCCGAGGCCTTGTAGGCGCTGCCACCGTGCTCCTGCTTCTTGAGCTCAGCAAGGCGCTTGGCCTCGGCGTGGACCTCCTGGACCTGCTTCTGACTGTCCGAGTAGAACTGGACAATCTTCTTGCCGGTGGGCGTGGATGAGGCCTTCTCAAAGTACGAGCTCAGGCCGCTGAGGAGCGAGTTGGCGCGTTGCGAGATGCCGTACGACTGGTCGGTGGCCCTGGCGCGGTCCGAGGCGTGGTACTTGCTGTCGAAGCTCTGCAGGGTGCTGAGGAAGCGCTTGGAGACGCCGTGCTGGTGGTCCAGCTCGAGGGCGCGCTGGATGGCGGCATCGCCCACCACGTACCCGTGGGCCAGGTACTCGGCCAGGATGCGGGCGCGGGGCTTCTCCTCCTGCGTGATCTCGTCCGTGTCGCGGTCGGCGTTGGTGACGACCGTGTCCTCGCCGGGGCTGCCCGACGCGCTGGATACCGAGATGTGGTTGGTGCCCAGCTGGGTGTTGTTGAGGAGGAGGGCCGTCTTAGCCGCCGTCTCCTTCTCAAACGTCACGTTGGCCGACTTTGTCTCGCCCTCGGCCGTGATACTGAGGTCGGAAATCTTGCCGCTAAACGACGCAAGTTAGTCAGATGCGAGATGGGATGGCGAAGCCCACCCGAAAGGATATTTCAGCCATGTTACGCCGCAAGGGCACCAGGGAAACTTACCAGAAGCTGAAGAAGTCCTTGACCTCATCATCGCCGGTGGCGGGAGCAATGTTGGTAACGTGAACCGTAGAGTTGCTCATGTTGGCGTTTTGTGGTAGAAGCGGGGTTGGGATGCTGAGTTGAGGAGAGATGATGTGGTAACACGGCTTGTGCAGAGCGTCAGGACAGAAAGTCTCGAATTCAAATGGTACCAGACGGAAGAGAAGAGGAAGAGGAGATGATAAAGCCTCGTCTCGTCAGAAGAGGAAGAGATGCAAGGATCTTTTTAAGAGAGGGAAAAAGGTGGCAATTTCACAGTAATGACGTGGTTTTAATGCAGAAAAGGTCCCCAACCCTGGAGGTCCCAACCGGCAAGAGGCAGCCGTGGGAAGCGAGAGCGAGGGGTCGTGGCTGGCTGGCGCTTGGCTGCTGTAGCGGGGCATGAGCCGACGTCATCTGTTCTCACGCTCTTTCTTCCTCTCTCTCTTTCTGTCTATCCGTACTTTACTGATAGTTCCAGCCAAAGATGATGAATCTGCTATTACTACCCAATCGGGTAATATGAGTGTGGCGTACGTCGTAATTGTAGTGTGGGAAGGGGCCGGGGGGAGGGGGAGAGGGATTATCCATGAACAGCACAGCCACAGCCAACTTTCTCTAGGCGCACGCAAAAGCCACGATTATGCACGCAATGCCATCGAAGGTTCAAGCAGGTTCTTATCTTGGACCAAGCATGTGAAAGTCCCAAATATGATGCAATCGCCTACTATTCCGTAGAGACCTCGTTTTCTTTTCGTTGTCGGGAATTTCATTCCATCTTCATGATACTAGTAGGGACATAGAAGGTGGTGGTGGGTAAAATCATCAAGCACGCTTGACCTCTCGCGGTCGGGCAGGCTCATGGCTAGAATAACCTCCATATCGAATCGGCCCCCCTCTGCGCCTTGAACCTCGCCCACCACCGGCAAAAGGGCCACATGATGAGGACCGTCGCGGCAATGACGGCAAGGAATGCCGGGATACTGGTGATACCCCTAGCCGTCTTTCCGGGCTCCAGCGGATCCGGCAAGCCCGTATCGCGACCGAAGAAGTTGAGCAGCACCGCCGCCCCCGCCATCAGGACGAACAGGTGCACGACGTAAAACGCAAACGCCGAGCGACCCAGGTCCAGCAGCACCGTGAAATACCGCGACGTCGCCGCGCGACGGGGCACGGCCTCGAAGGCGGCGAGCAGGAGCAGGTTTCCACACATGGTGAGGGACCAGTACGCCACGTCGGGGGGGTACTTGACTACGTAGAAGAAGGACTCGACCGACGTGAGGTACGGGTTGCGCCCCGGGTGGACGACGTGCTCAGGCGTCTGGAGGCAGCCCTCGGACAGGTTACCGGTGCGGAGGACCCGGGTGAGAACGAAGATGGCCGCAAAGACGACGGACGCGGCCGCGTAACCTGCCACCAGGCACCGTCGGCTCCAGCACCGTCCCGCCGCAAGGACGCGTCCGTACAGCAGGCCCAGGATGGCGAACGAGAGCCACGCCAGCGGCGGGAACGTCGATAGCGCATACCTTTCCTCGACGACCCAGATCCACATGCGGAGGAACCACGGGCTGCCCCGAGAACCTGCGGCTGCCGTGTCGCCGTCGCAGTGCCCGCTGGTCGGGGAGAACCACACGTTCCACCAGATGGTCACGGCGCCGGCCATCACGAGCGTCGCATTATGCGCATGCCACGAGACACTCTGCGCCCACGCACTGTGCTGTCCCTCACGCCGACCGAGCAGCGGCTCGGCGGCACCTTCGTCCCCGTTCTCGTCGGCGGCAGGCCACGTTCTGAGCAGCACACTGGCGAGCTTGTCCTCCGTGATCCGCATGCCGATGCAGAGCAGCCCGGCAAGGAGGTATCCAAACCCCAGCGCCGAGAGAACCATGTTGAAGAACCACATCCGTCCGGGTGCGAGCACGACAGCCATGAGAACGGGGACCACGATTGCCAGGAGGGCCGCCCGCACGGCCAGGTAGCGAGACAGACGCGCCGCGCTCCACCCCAGACGTCCCAGGCGCGACTCACACGAGAAGACGACCCCCATGCCCATGAGGAAGGGAAACCCCGCTCCGCACAGGTGCGAGAGCGTGCGCAGCGTGTACGCTAGGGCGCGGTTCCAGCCGTGCACCACGGTGCTGTCGGCCTCCTCGCTCCCGTCCGTTGTGCTGTGCGGGTACACGCGCAGCATGACGGTGACGTGGTCGATTGCCATGAGGATCATGAGGAGTCCTCGGACGAGGTCTGGTGCTATGGCGCGTACCGAATCTTGCCGCTGCTGCTTCTGCTTTCTCGGTACTGCTGCCTCGTGGCTATTTATGTTGCTCCGACGTACCGAGCCATATCCATTGTCGCTCGCTGTCCCGTTTTGAGCCTCGGTATCGTCGGCCGTCACGGCCAACGCATTGACTGATGACGCAGCCATCTCTCTGTTTCTCTCTCTCTCTCTCTCTCTTCACCTCTCGCCTGCTTTTGATATGAGCCCTCCGGGTGGGAGGATGATGGAAAACACTGATAAGAAGTGAAGTGGAGAAGAAGGAGAGGGAGAAGAAGGGGGAGAGGAAGTGGTGCCCCGATCATCCGGTCAATCATGTGAGAGTTGAGCAATGCTTTATTCGTACCCGTCGATACTCGATTGAGCCCTGACAGTAAAAGTCCGCTGTTTAGTGCAACCTAGAGGCCAGGGGACCCAGGTCGGCGGAGACACACGTTGAGAATTTTGAAAATGAAGCCTGGAACGGTTGCCGACGAGGCGACATGCCCCACTAATTTACTTCGCGCTGGTAGGGGGATCAGATCCGAGGGTCCGATGTAATACATCTCATCATTGTACATGCTTGGCGGAACTAAAAAGCGCCTTTCTTGGTATATAATATATCTCTCATGTACTAAGTGAATCAGGACGACAAGAATGAGAAAGAAAAAAAAATAGGGCATAATGTAGGCAGGCATTGAACTCTATATCATATTAGGTTGAAAATGGTATATCCTGTCCTCCTCTATAGGAAAGCCGGGAACCACGACGGCCCCGCGCCGCTGCTGCAGCCACGCTGACCCTTGCTCCGGCGCTACTTCATGGTGCGCCAGGCTGCAGCTGACACTCGTTGCATCGTCGGTGTAGGCCCAGTCCGAGACTTGCAGACGGCACTCGGACAGAGCATCGGGAAATGGTGACGAGCTCAGAGCCGCGCACGTCCATGCTACCTGTCTCATGAGCTCTATCATGGCGGGTGCGCGGGCGCACACGGTCAGGCGGATGAAGGCAGCCTCCACCTCGACGTGTATGGCGCGGAGGCCATGGGACATAGCGGCTGCCGAGTAGCCCCCATCCCAAAGGGACATGCCACCCGTTTCCTGCTCGTGCATAGTGTGGGCCGGCGTCGTTGCCTTGGCCAGGGCCTCGCCTAGACATCCCATGAGGATGGACCCGCATCGTGGCCAGTTCCGCGCCGAGTATTCGGCTATCGTGGTAGGGTAGCACTCGTTGACAGTTCCGACGATGACGGGCAGCGACCCGATGTGTGCCGTGCTCCCTCCACAGTCCGCAATCCGCTGGCGAGGGTCGCATTCGAGGCGCAGCTGCCACACATGAAAGCCGTCAGAGGGGGGTCGGAAGGGGCGTCGCATGAGGATGTGCCATGCGGCCGAGTCTATGAGGTGCTTCTGGACGTGATGGGGGGTATATAGGACCTTCTTTATGCGTGTGATGAGCGTCTTGAATGACGTGCCGGCGACGGTCCGGCTGCATATGGTGCGGGCGATTTCGTCGGGCGAGCCGCCGGGCGAGTGCGACGGATACTCGAGAGCCCACCAGCGCATGATCAGCTGGACGGACATCTCGAGAGGGACTCCAGCTCCTGCAGACTGCGACCACGAGTTTATGCGGCGAGACAGACCAGGGCCGATGATGTCGAGGATGCATCGTGCCAGCTCGGGCCCGAGGAGAATCATGATGAGCTGGCGGATGGGCCCGCGAAACAGCAGTGATAGCTGGCGGGCATGCTGGGCATTGGAGGCGTAGTAGAAGTCCCACAGCTCGTCCCAGAACTCACGGGTGAAGTCGGCGATCAGGCCGTCGATGACGCGGTCGAGGTTGATGACGATGCGCTGGCCGGTCAGATAGTAGTGGGCGAGGAGCTGGTTGCCCAGTCTGTCCGCCACGGCAGCGGCAAATGCGGCGATGAATGCGCCGGCAATGACATGGGGAGTCTGAATCTCTAAGCTGGTCTCATTCAGCCCCGGAGAGGCAATGAGGCTGGGCAGCGGGGGCTTGACGGCACGGCTACCCCGTCTAGAGATCCGATGTCTATCAGTGACAGATTCGGAGCTCGCTGGAGGGGGCATGTCTGCTCATGGCCGGGACGGAGAAGACAGCTCGACGCCTGTAAGCAGCACTCCTCGACGGCACAACCAGCTAGGAGACTGTCCAAGAAGCCCATGCTTGATGGGGTAGATGGACAGGCAAAGAATAGCACGGAAGTATGGGGGAGAGAGAAGTGCTTGTATGCCGGTAAGATTAGACGAGGGACGAATACATGTGTTATACTAGCACTGGCGGTATGCGTACGCGCGCCATGGGCGACTAGCAGTCTAGCCATATCAAAAGAAATTTCCCCTCGTCTTAGGTATCACTCAGAATATCAGTACGCGGAAACGACACCGTGTGACAATTTGGGGGGGGGGGGGGAAGTGGCAAAAATCTGTATGGTTGCGCGTCCCCAGACCCCTCTCGGGAAGACTCGCATGGGCTGCTTCAACCGGGACAGGCAGACACCAACGGCCGGGTGGGGATGCCATCTCAGCACTGTGGACATATCGGCGTCACATGCTGAAGAAGACATCACCGAGTATTACGAGTGCTTGGCAGACAGTGTAGTGTGAGCATCATGTTGGTTGAAGCAGGTCAATCAATGAGCTGTCTTCGACCCTCGTACACTGCATTACTCGTGTCCGTGAGGGGGAGTTGAGAGGCCAACGAAACTCAGGGGCTTCGAGGGAAGGGATTCTCCGGGGAGGCGTATGCCTGCCGGCCTCGACAACGTCAAAGCACCGCGCACCATAAGCCGAGCGGTAAAGCGGTGGGCGTCACTGTCCTTGGACGGATCGCGGTGGAGGTCAGAGGACGAAGAAGGAAGAAAGAGTTACGCGTCGTCTTTGGCCTATTGGTGGGTCTAGCGTACGCGGCTCTTTCGCCTATTGTTGGCCACGGCCAATCGGCGTAGTCCTGTAGATGGAGTTGTACATTATATGAACAGATGCGAGTAAGCGGCGATAACCCATCGTCCTAGGCGGGAAGGGAGGAGCCTGTGTCGTCATATGTTTTGGGTTAATTTGAAGCTTCTTGTGACGACAATGGAGGAAACGCGAGGCAGCAGGGGAGAAGATTCCAACATGTCAAATTATCAATGCTCCTCCGTAATACCGTAATACTGGCAGGGTAGGTGCGAGTGGGACCTACCGATAGGAAGGGTCAAGGCTTGGCGAGCCGCTGTGACCACTGACCAGTGACAGGTGCCTGTTTGAAGTGAGATCCGGTCGTCTCAGCGGGTGCCTTGCAGATGAACAAGACGGATAGGGGAAGAAGAAGAAAAGGGCGAGAGAGATAGAGATGGGTGGGATGGGATGCAGGTATAAGATTCACCTCGAGCGATAATAATATATGTCCTGTAAAAAGTCTGTCGGCCCCATCTCCCAGGCTTGCGGCATCGAGCTCGGGTCAAAAAGGGGAAAGGGCGGAAAGTGGAAGGTGCTATGGATCCGGCGGCCGCCACTTCCCTAAAATGAAGTCCGGAAGAAGATGCCCCGCTCGTTGCATGTCTGTCATGTTTGTTCGTTTGAAAACTTCCATGACGACCTGCGCTCCATCAAACTCCCAGCAAATCCAACGGTGGGTTTGAAGATCGAACTCTCTGTGACGACCATTATCGTTTTCCCGCTTTCGAAGAGCGAACTCTCTGTGACGATCATCGTCGTTTTCCCGCTGTCGAGCCAAATGTTCTCCTTATGCCGTCGCCGTCACGTGGTTGAACAAGGTACAGTCACGAGACTACCGGTACCGTAGGCGGACAGACACGCCGGTTCAGACCGACAAAGCATGCTGCTGTCACCCCATTTTGTCCCGCCATAGCATGACCACGCGCCATGAGTAAAAAAAAACGGCGCGATGCACCATGGCCATGATGGACGATACTTTGATGATCTGACAGCACCCGTGGAGCTTACCTCTATCACGGGGAGGGGTATAGCTGATCGATCGATGGTCGAGTGCATTATAGTCATGTCATGGAGAGATGCAGCGCTGTCTCTGTCTTGCTGCGAGCAGCAGCTGAGGTTATCGACCGATTCGTAAAGGCATTCGCAATGGCTTGGTAGGGATCATCGGGATGGCCAGAAGAACCTCATGGGCATTTATACATTCCTATGCATTCCTCCCGTGATGCAAGATATGCAATGTGGCTCGTCGGTTCGGATGCAGTGGGAATCTGTGGGCGATTGGTACAATAATTGGAAGCGAGTCATGGGAGGAGGGGGGGCATCACCGCCCGAGACGGAGCAGCTAAGCGTAGCGTGTCCTAGCAGACTGGACATCACTATGGATATTACGAGACCATGCTGGAGGCAGATGCATCAGGTGGCAGGAAACTTTCCAGGAAGAACCAATGGCGGATGGGGGGATGGCTTGGCCTCGAGGTTTCAGCGGGACCATGTATTATGGCATGATGCGACGACAACACGAGAGGAGGAGGGAAGACAGAAGGGCCTCGATCTCGTCCCCTACGCCTATTCCCTCCTGCTCACCTGCAACCTGCAAGCCCCTCCTCGTTCTGCCTCGCACCATTCCAGCAGTCTTGACAATGGTGGTGGTCTGTCAAATGGGAGCAGAGGAGGGGAAAGCAAACCGGTTACGTCGTAGACAGGATGGCGTGTCACACTCTGGGGCTGCTCCCGCCCCTCTCCCTCTCCTCTCCGCAGAGAGTCAATCACGGTCATCCAGCATTCAACAATGTCTGCTTCCAGAGTCAGCACGATCCGGGGATAGCCATTTCTCATTTTTCGTCTTCATTCTTGAGTGACTGCTCTGACAACTCTCGCGTGCCCTCCTGCTCCATGCATCATCGCTCTTCCATCGGCGGCGGCAGAGCTGTGGAGCCCAAGGACCCCGGACCCTTTTACCCCAGACTCGGCGGGTTGCTGCGACTGCAGCGCTAAGCCCGAACGGGATGAAGCTGTTGCTCTCCCATAAGGTGAGGTGTGATCTGTATGAACTCTTGGGATGAGCGAGTGACGCAACCCCCCCCCCCACTTCCATGCTCTCTGCATTCGAAACAGAAAGGGAAGAATCAGTGGTATAGTCACGCGATGAAGACCAACCGTCCATCGTCCTACCCCGCTCTATCTCTGATGACGATGGTGACTCAGGTACATCTACCGCATGAGAGAGTGGCACCGGCCCGCGGAAGTCATGGGAAAAGATCACCTCATCCGGAGGGGCTTGCCAGCGTTTGTACTACACGGTAGCGCTGAGCATGTAGACGGAGTATCTGATAATGGGATTTACCAGTATTAATAGTAACGTCCGTGCTCCCTGGCTCGTCTATGCCCATACGAGTACATAACCTGCCCTTCTTCCCCTCCTACCTCTTCTTGCCTCTCCTTTCTCTCTCCTCTCCTCAACCCTAGTAGTACCGCACCTTTCTCCCATAGATCATAGCAAACCTGCCTTCTGTGCTCGACTTTCTCTGCGCTGTCGATATCAAGAGTGCGTTGCTTACCCATCTCTGCGACTCACAACTGCACACAAACACACACACACACACACACCCATTTCCATACATTTTCGAGACTGACGTCATCCTGATAACAGCACAGCGCACAAGACCAAAAATTCCAAACGAAGAACGCCTCTCACGTCCCAGTAACATCCCACCATCATGACGGGTGAACCGCTCACAAAGGTCGACTCCGCCGTCGAAGGTCTCTCTTCATCGCCGCCCAAAGGAAAGGGACATCGCCGACAGAGCTCCAGCGCACCTGGAGTGTGGAACATCAATGATCTCGGTGAGTCGGCTGCTCTCTCCTGGACTAGATCTCTCTCCTCCACGGAAAAAAAAAAGAAGAAAAAAATTCAGTGAACCGACAGTGGCTGACGTCCTATCCTCAAGAGGCATCCGGGATCGAGCTAGAGCTCGAGATCGAGACGCAACGGACAGGATGGTATGAAGACGAAACAGCACTTCGCATCGCCCTGGAAACTGGGGCTAGAGGACCTGTGCCTAACAGAAAATGCCATCGATAGGAAAATCAACACGAGCCCTTCCACAGTGGAGGATCAGTCGATCCTCAAGCTGCCGCTCTCCAAACCCCCCGTCAAGAAGATTGACCTACACTTCCCTCTCGGACTGGAAGTGACGGCGCGGAATATGAAGGGCGTCACCATCAAGGATGCCCTCGATGCTATCCACAAGGCATACAGGAAGAGGGTGAGTTTCTCTCTCCGGGTGTTCGCATACGCCCGTCGTGCCTGAATAGGACGCGTACTCGTTTCGAAGGGTCGGATGGCTCACTGACACGGCATCGCCTCACAGTCGGACGATGAGCTAGATGACCCCTACCTCAAGGGGTTCGAGTGGGACAAGGACGAGTCGTGGACGCGACTGATCGTCCATTGCCAGAAGCAGCCCACACCCACCTCGTTCGGCTCGTCAGCCGCCAACGGCGGCGGTGGTAAGAAGAAGAAGAAGGCAGCCAAGGCTGAGCAGTAGATTCAGCTCCTTCCTCTCCTCCCGTTACCTTGCCACCCGTAATTCCTCAGAGAGCACAATTCCTGACATATCCTTTGATCAACTTATTCCCTGATGGGGGAGTTTCGCTTCTTAATGTCCTTTTCTCGGCGGCGGCGCTGCCGGGGGGGGGGGGGGGGGGGGGGGGGGG